TTAAAGGATGATGAATATCAGATAAATATAAAAGTATATGAAGTGTATAAATACAAGAAAATAGAATATGATGAAATACACATGCAAAAAAACAATCTTGAAAGAAAGAGAATGAGCTATAAAAAGTGGGTAATAAACGAGAAATGTATATTGACCATCAATTTAAGTGCACAAAGTGCTAATTTGAACGCTACAAATGAATTCGAATGCTAAAAGTACACCGTCGCGATGTCAGAAAATAGTGTTGCGCTAAATCGAATGACCAAATAGCGAAAGAAGCACTTTGTTCATTAATTTGAATGAAACATGCATAGATTCTAACGAAAACTTCATATATTTGAAATCTAGAAAAAGGAATATAAACCCGAGATATACCCGACAGCACTAAAACCGTCGAATTCGAACGCAAGAAAAATCAATTTGAATGACAAACTCGCGAATTAGGCCGGGAAATCCTATATTATGATTGTTTCATGTTACTTGTGTATATATATTATTTTTATGGTTTTATTATTGAAATAAATGATGATGAATTGAATTGAAATGAAGGAAGCATCCATTATTTGAATACATTAACGACTTCAAATGGTGCGTCACGTTATCAAGAAAATGCCGATGCATTTGTCGTGCTGAGAAACTGTAGATTATTCTTGCTTTATGCCTCTCGCATACACTTTGGTGGGGAATCTTGTAGATTAATAGGCAAGAATATAATAGATATCTCAGGATAAGCAAAGTTACTTCTTGGGATGCGGTTTCCTTTAGGCTGTGGATTTTTCGTAATACGGGGGAAAGGATCATACTTACAAACCAAAATAGATTGTTCGGATTTTGCGGTAGCAATAATAATGCACTTAACTTTATTCAGATGGTTGCAAGACGAGAAATATTTTCAGCCAAATTACGAAATCTACTACCTTCATTTGACATAATTTTATCAGCTGTAAAACGTTATCATTTTGTTGAGAGTGTTGGGCAGTCCTAAACTACTTCCTCATGTGCTCCCGCCAAGAACAAAAAAAAAAGCGGACCTCCAAATGATTAAATTTCATTCATTGTTTTATTCTTGTCTTGTTTACAGGCATAATTATAATCAAAACATAATAACCAATAGAATAGTGCATATGGTATTTCTTTATCATTCGCTGTTGAAAAAAGAAGTTATTATTTGCATTAACTTTACCCGCCCTTTAGTGAATATAGGGGTAGGTAAAATATCGTAGAGTAGCTTGGAAGCAGCTAGTACCTTTAATGCATATGACCCAAATGGACCTTCAAAGGTCACAAGTTCTTTAAAAAAAAGATAATACTCATCGTTGCTTTACTATCTTCATTCTTGTTAATGGGCGGGCGGGGGTAATTTCGTATTTACTCGTTTTCTGAGAAAGTTAGGACCAATTTCGATGTCTTTGAAGAGTCACATAGTACACTATTTATATATAGTAATCACGCCTGGGTTCGTAACGATTTCTAAATTCGTGCGTTACGTGTCGTCATTAGCGAAACGCCCACTCCTCATCAAGTACCCACTACAGCGCTGCATTGTCCTCACGACAACCTTCAAACGCCGTGGATTAATCATCGGGACGTGCGAAAACGAAAGGGAGGGAGAGAGAGAGAGAGGGGGAGAAGGGGAGAAGGGGAGAGGGATAGAGGGGGAGAGGGATAGAGGGAGAGAGGGGAGAGGGAGAGATGGGGAGAGGGAGAGAGGGGGAGAGGGATAGAGGGAGAGAGGGGGAGAGGGAGAGATGGAGAGAGGGAGAGAGGGGGAGAGGGAGAGAGGGGGAGAGGGAGAGAGGGGGAGAGGGGGGCGGGAGAGAGGGGTGAGGGGGAGCGGGAGAGAGGGGGAGAGGGAGAGAAAGAGAGAGAGAGAGAGAGAGAGAGGAAGAGGAGAGGAGAGAGAGAGAGAGGGGAGACGGGTAGACGATGAGGAGGAGGGTGAGGGAGAGGGAGAGAGGAAGAGAGAGAGGGAGAGTGGGAGCGGGGGAGAGGGAGAGAGGGGAGAAGGGTAGACAATGAGGAGGAGGGAGAGGGAGAGAGAGAGAGAGAGGAGGAGGAGAGAGAGCGGGAGAAGAGAGAGGGGAGGAGAGAGAGGAGTGGAGTGAGAGGGAAAGGAGAGGGAGGGAGTGGTGGGTGGGGGCGGAGAGAGGGGAGGGCGAAGGAGAGAGGGAGTGAGGGTAGAGCATGTTCTTGACTTATCATAAATATTTAACGACCTTTATTTTTAACTTTCTGCCATCTACCTGGGGCTAATGTACAGGAGCAAGGATCTAGGAGTTTCGTGTATAAAACATAATTATGATAAACCGTGCCTCTATTTATAACATTTATACTGGGTGTTTATGTCGTTGACATGAGGAGGGGGGGGGGGGGGGGGGGGGGGTGGGAGAATAAACACATCTCCTACCAAAAAAAAAGTTCTAGAAAATACGGAAGGAAAACGAAATCTAATATTATGTTTCTGTAAACGGAAAATATACCTTTATTATAGAATCTTTTGAAAATGGCGTGACAAAATTGTTTGCAATTCCATGTTAGTTTTGAACTTCTATATAGGCCTAAATCATTATACATTTTTTTTCGTCAGTTGAAGATTATTCGCATTCGCTTACATGACAGAAAGATGCCTTAATTCATAAATAAGAGGAAAGTTGAAAATTGAAGCTGAAGAGAAAAACGATACAGCCCATCTTCCATGGCCTTCAGGGCCCCGTTTCATAAAAATTGACACCGATAACAAGTTACAATAACTGTTATAAGCTACTGAAATCGTGGCATCTAATTGGGTGAGAGCAAATTTGTCATAGAAATTTAGCATTTGTTATTGATAACAAGTTTTTATGAAACATGGCCCGGGTGCGTCTTTTTTTCCCGTAAGGTAGCCATCATAGAATGCATATTAATATTTGAATATATGAAAATTTGCGTTGGTACGGTGAGGTGGAGATCAAATTCAAAATTGAATCGGCCAAATTCTGGACTAAATTAACCAGTATGTCGCAATGATTATGAACAAGTTATGACCTGGGTAGTCTTTCGTTTACGGTAAGCCTCCCGATTTTGTCGCAATATCACTTATTTAAAGTAAACTTAGCTTTGCATTTGTAATTTTTGTATGAAATCTCATATTTGATTATCGCATCAGATTCTGTGTACGTGCGTATCATGAATATTGATGACTAGCGCATGACGTATGGTCCTATTGAGCCAATCAAATGCAGCGACAGGATGGTTACCTGACGGGAAAAAAAGACGCGGCCCGGATCGCGGTCGGGTTGTGACCAACCATAATTTCTATGTTACGTTACCGTTCATAATGGGTTTATTACCTATCAACCTCGGTTCACTTTGATTTAACAGTGTCAAATATAGGGGACAACTCACTCTCCATCATGATCTTGCGTGACCCCCGTCATAAAGTTCTTGTTAATATCCAGTCATGATCTTGTAATTCCTCTCATATGGCTCCGGTTGTCTCATTTTCGCTCGCTGGAACAACGCCAGCACAAACCACTGACCTCTACCTCCTGGACGGATCATCGCCCATTCCCATTCACTATACGTTACGTACTAAAAGGCTGTATTGTCTGACCGTTCATGAATATTCATGTTTTTGCTTACCTCGGAAAAATGTTTGCTTTTACTAAATGGAAAAATTACGGTGGGGGGGGGGGGGGTGGATGAAATGGACTAAACCGAGAACAAATTTCCACCACACAATCTTACTAGTATAGGTGGAGATCAAATTCAAAATTGAATCGGCCAAATTCTGGACTAAATTAACCAGTATGTCGCAATGATTATGAACAAGTTATGACCTGGGTAGTCTTTCGTTTACGGTAAGCCTCCCGATTTTGTCGCAATATCACTTATTTAAAGTAAACTTAGCTTTGCATTTGTAATTTTTGTATGAAATCTCATATTTGATTATCGCATCAGATTCTGTGTACGTGCGTATCATGAATATTGATGACTAGCGCATGACGTATGGTCCTATTGAGCCAATCAAATGCAGCGACAGGATGGTTACCTGACGGGAAAAAAAGACGCGGCCCGGATCGCGGTCGGGTTGTGACCAACCATAATTTCTATGTTACGTTACCGTTCATAATGGGTTTATTACCTATCAACCTCGGTTCACTTTGATTTAACAGTGTCAAATATAGGGGACAACTCACTCTCCATCATGATCTTGCGTGACCCCCGTCATAAAGTTCTTGTTAATATCCAGTCATGATCTTGTAATTCCTCTCATATGGCTCCGGTTGTCTCATTTTCGCTCGCTGGAACAATGCCAGCACAAACCACTGACCTCTACCTCCTGGACGGATCATCGCCCATTCCCATTCACTATACGTTACGTACTAAAAGGCTGTATTGTCTGACCGTTCATGAATATTCATGTTTTTGCTTACCTCGGAAAAATGTTTGCTTTTACTAAATGGAAAAATTACGGTGGGGGGGGGGGGGGGGGGTGGATGAAATGGACTAAACCGAGAACAAATTTCCACCACACAATCTTACTAGTTAAACTTTGTCTATTAAATACGAAGCAGAAGCGATCTATGATAATTCATGCATCTTATTCTTCGTGTGCTTGACCTATAATCTTAAAATCGCTTAGCAAACTGAGTCCAAAGTTCGACTTGTTTCGCTTGTGTATTATAGGCAATGACGAGCTTGCAACCTATTTAGATCAAATTACGGTGGGTGAATTTTCAAAAGTCAATTAGACATGAGGGTTCCAATGAAAGAGCTAGTGGTAACGTACGTCGGGGTGGATGTGCTTTTCGTTTAAACAAAAAATGTTAGGCTGCTGACTCTGACGATAGGGGCGTTGTGAAATGAGACTAAACGGAGCAATATGCAAGATCTATAAGCTTACAATAAATTACTCGACTCGTGACATGATCAAATCGTTTACGCGTGCGCACTAAGTCCCCCTCTACCTCAAGTTTTTGAAGCATCTTGTAGGCGAAGTAGTTTAAGGCGAACGGCTAAGTAGCTCTCTACGCCTTATCTAAAGAATGATCAAATTGATCAGGATTACTGATTTGAGAAGCACTTTAAAGTGATGTTCGATTTGAGTATAGAATATTTGGAAGTATCTTGAATGTGTGAAATACGAAGAGAAGGGGATATTTTCTAGGTAAAGTGCATTTTCTTCTGACATAATTATCTCGAATAGGATCACGAGTGTCGTCTAATGTTGCCGAAGCCTTTTTGACGAATAGAATCAGTAGGCGATTGGAGGGGAAGGCAAAGAGGTAGCAAACAGTGATCCGCTGACAAGTAGTGCCATGGGGACAGTACTCGTCAACACGACCACGGCAATAATCCTCGCCGGCGTCGATTACGACCTTTCATTCAACGAAACGCTGAATGACACGAGCTACGGCGATGCCTTCGATGCCGATGATGGTGGTGGACATCATGATTACGGCGAACGTTCCTTATTCGATATGATCGTGATGTATTTTAAACTCGTCATCGATGTCGCCGGCTTGCTCGGCAACGTCGTGGTCGTTCTCCTCGTCACGTTCTGCCACGACCTCCACAGCGCTGCCAACTACCACTTTCTAAACATGGCCGTCGCCGACTTCATTCTCCTGCTCGAGAACCTCGCAGGGAGAATCAATAACATCGTTCACTTTGATCTGTTCCGGACTTGGGATTGCCTTCCACTCTATCTTCATACGGTAATTCTGTTTTCTATTCATTAAAAAAACTATATAAAAAAAAATATTTTGTTTTGTGTAACTATGATATATAATTGATCATATATTTTGTAAACGCTGCTATGTACTTCTCCAATGGAGAGTTGTTGTTGTTGACGTTATTATTGTTATTATTTTTTTAAATTATTATTATCATTATTATCATCATTATTATTATTATTATTAGTAGTAGTAGTAGTAGAATCATGAATATAATGATAATTGATATTATCATTGGAAGTAGTAATGGTGGTAGTTTTATTGTTTTTCATTATCATTATCATTATTATAAGATAACCTGCGAAATTCGCGAGTTTGTCATTCAATTTGTCATGCCAATTAGGATTTTGGCCGAAGGGTTTCATAGATTTGTCATTTTCATTTAGAAACTGCTCAACTAGCATTCAAATTAATCGTCACTTGTCGTGGCGTCATTTATATCATTCAAATTAACACCTGCCATTCGTATTCGAAATACGTTCATTCAAGTTAGGAATGTTAGGCGGAAGAAATGCAACACACGTTTACAAAAAATGCAACAATAATGCAGCATCCCCGATGGCCCGCCAGCAGATCGATGGCTAAAGACTTGGCTAAATAATGAATCATGGGGAATCATGCTCAAATTGTGTGACTCTAGTCCCTACCCCATTCACAATATCACCCTTTCCCCCATAATGAAACTATGATAAATTTATGTTGAAACACGAGACAAAAATTTCCTAACCACGAACATTTACAATCATATTGAGACCATCAATTCCGTATAGATGCAAGTCGTGTTTTTTCTTAACAATCAAACTGATGAATATCAGATAAATCTAATAAGTAGAAGTGTACAAATGCAAGAAAACGAAATATGAAATACCAATGAAAAAATAATCCTGAAAGAAAACATATGAGCTATAAAAACTGTGTAATAAACGAGAAATGTGTATTGACCATCAATTTAAGTGCTCAAAGTGCTAATATGAATGCTACAAATGAATTAGAATGCTAGAAGTACACCGTCGCTATGACAGAAAATCGTGTTGCGCCAATCGAATGACCAAATAGCGAAAGAAGCACATTGTTCATTTATTTTTAATGAGTCATACATAGATTTTAACGAAAACTTCATAGATTTGAAAACTAGAAAAAGGAATATAAACCCGAGATATACCTGATAGCACTAAAACCGTCGAATTTGAACGCAAGAGAAAATTAATACTAAATATAATAATAATTATTATTATCATTGGAAGTAGTAATAGTGGTAGTAGTATTGTCATTTGTCATTCTTGTCATTCTAATTACATTTTGATTTGCAAGGACATGAAGATTCATGACAAGTTTGAGCTAACCATGATGACTGTTAATGGATTTTAAATGAAAATCAGTATGCTAGAATTAACTTGAAGACCTAACCAATCCCACAATTTAATTATTGTCAAGTGAATGGAAGGTTCGTAGTCGAGTGGTTTAAGCACTTGATTCGAAATTCAAAGGCTTTGGGGTTCGATCCAAGACAAATGTCCTTTGGCAAGGCATCAATCAACATTTGCCACTCAATACCCAAGAGAGAAATAGGGACCCAGTTGACGAATGACGAAAGCGTTTGTGTTAGTAATTGTCTATGCCCTCACGGTATGAATACTTTCCACGGAGTGGAGATGGTGCACATTGTGCATGAATGAATCCGATGACCGGGTTAATCATAATATCTGAACACACTATGAACATGACTGACAAAGAAAGCGGACAAAATATACCGTTCCTCAGGTAGACAAAGGAACATCCGTTCACTGCTATTATGTAAAAATGTGTAGAACAGGTGTCACATGCATATTCACTTTTTACATAATAGCAGTGAAGGGATGTACTTTTGTCTACCTGAGGAACTGTACATTTTGTCCGCTTTCTTTGTTCGTCATATTCATAGTTACAGCGCTTAGAGACGGTATTCCGTAATAAGCGCTTTACAAACCCAGGTTACCATTATTATTATTATTACACGTTGTTAACATCAAAATCCAAAGATCTCTGAATTATATCCCCGAAGTCTTGAAATCATTCACAATGAAAAAAAATATGGAAAATATCAATTTAATTTGTATATCAAGCACAAGATCACCCGGGCTGAAACAATTTGATGATTTTCCGAAATTTATTGACCGTTAACCAATTTAAAATCTGTCATGTCTCATTTCGAAATTAATAGAAAATGAAATATAAGGGCAGCAGAATGGAATGGAAAAATTCAAAAGATCGGGAGAACTAAATTAATGAAACTTCAGGTTACGATCTGTTAGGCATTTAAAGAAGAGGAAGATAGAGAAATCAAATTAAATGAGGTCAATAAAAAAAAATAAAAAAATACGGGTGCAATAGTTTCCTCATTTACAGTTCATTATTTTTGATTTTTTTTTTAATGGCAATTTCCCGTCGGCAGAAATTTCTTCAAATGAATAGTAGAAAATAAGACATTGTCAATGTAAATATACAAAAGATGCATGCGAATGAGTTCATTATTCGATCTAGCCGCACTTGAGTTGAGGCTGTATGCATCTATCTTAAGTCTTTAGGCTGAGGATGATAAGCGTAACATCGTCAACAAGAGCAGATAGATCTTAATAAACGAATCTAAACATATATGTTTTTTATGAAACTCCTAGATCCTTGTTATTTGATGTATGATGGGGTGACCAAATTTCGCGGAGATTTTAAAAGATATTAGGAAATGTGATATTCAATGGAAAGAGGAACCTAACATTACCCAGAGACAAAATTTTCTTTGAAATTGGGTTTGAAATTATGAAAATATTGACAAAAGATCGACAAATTTTGCGTCCGTTTCGATTATTTTGAACTCATCGACAAGGATCTAGGATTAGGAATCTTCATATCGCGAGAATATGTCATCAAAATCGTAAATAAACAGTCATACCTGCTGACTGGGTTTTATTCTGCCTTGCAAATTATGTCATTCTCTTATTTGACGGATCGCTTGTTTGGATAAATCAGTTGTAAAATCCCGTGCGCGAATAAGGGTTTCGTTTTTTAATGACTTTTTTTCGTCAGTTGCAGCGCATGCCAATCCGACATAAAATTTTGAGATCGCGATATCTCCGGAATTCTTGGAGAACACATTTTCTAGATGCACCAAATTGTAGTCAAAAACTTTTCCGTCCATTTACGTATTAATTGAACTAAATAAATTTGTGTAGAAAATGAGAAATCATAAGTTGAATATTACATATTTTGATATCTTTAACAAATCTCCGCGAACTTTGGTCACAAATAATCACGTTCTGAGATAATTTAGGCTTCATCTAGCGAGAATAAATCATATTGTCACAATAATTTCATGCAAAGATGTAAGAAAACTCATTCCAATGAACTTTGTAGGCAACAGTGCATTATATTTGACATTTCCAGAAGTGGAAAAAAAAGTCAGCAGACAAAGAAACAACTAGTAGAGAACGGCGTATGATAAATGGCAGAATTTGATAGAGTCGTTATGCTCACCCAGGTAGGATTAAGGAAGGAAATGTGAATCCGTTACTGTAGAAAAAGGCCTTCCTAATTAATCTCTTTTTTCTTCTCTCTCCCTTAAGGTTCCCTCGCTTCTTTCGCAATATCAATACTGCGTCATTCGGTACTTTACATTTGCATTGAGGCCATAAGTATCTCTCCATCGACCTTTTCAGCATGAGCTTATTTATCTACTATTTATGTATTCATTTACTTATTTATATCAATGAAAAGATGATTAGTACTACAAAATCGGAGAATATCTTTGAAGAGAGCCATAACTTAAGATTTTCGATTTGCACTCAACAGAGTAAAACGCAAGAATAAAACAGAAAGCCGACATCGATCAATATAAACGGAAACTAAAAGGAAACAAGGCGCGAACAAGGCGTTATATTCGCGCCTTGTTTCCTTTTTTGTTTCCGTTTATATTGATCGATTTCGGCTTTCTGTTTCATTCTTGCGTTTTACTCTGATGAGTGCAAATCGAAAAGCTTAAGTTATGGCTCTCTTCGATGCTATTCTCTTATTTAAATCACATATTTACACAGAGTAGCCTGTTCAGCTCGCAAACAATTACACAAAAATGATTTAAATATGCAACATATAGAATACGTGAACAATGATTTCTAATAAAAGTACATCACTAAAACATTTTAAAAATACATCTAAAAAAAAACACGTAAAAACTACAAATTCAATTCAATTCATTCAAATCTAAATATTTTTTTTTCCAAAAGTCAATCAAAACATGATTCCAGTTGGTCAGTAACTTATTCTCACATCTGATTATGTCTCCATGATACAGGTAGTTGTCCAGACATCGTCGCTGACCTTAGCTGCTCTGTCCATTGACCGGTTCAAGCTCATCGTCAGGCCATTGAAGAACTTGCATGACAGATCCACGGCCAAGGTCTTCATCTCACTCATTGCGGTATGGTTTGGTAAGAAAACATCACCATGTATCCTTTTCTCTCTATTTTTCTGACAATCTCTCCCCATCTCTCACCCTCTTTTTTCTTTCTTTGAAAACATATGTTGTAGATTTGTGAAAGAGTCTAGTCCGAACCACCATTCATGCACGATGCTCTCGTGATACCCTTGTCTCGGTACAGGCATATGATGAGATAAAACAATGAAAATGCATCTACTAGAGAGATACTCGAAATGAAAATGAGATACGAAGAAAGAGAAGTACTGTAAAGGGGGAAGAGTGGGGGAGAGTGAGGTAGGGGGAACAGCGATAAAGAAGGGGTGGGGAAATAGGAAAAGCGAGAGAGAGAGAGAGAGAGAGAGAGAGAGAAATGAGGTGTCGTGGTGTGGCAGTCTCCCAAACTTTTTTTTTCTTGTACAAAAATCGAAAGCTGTGTTGGTACATTTGAAAAGATTTGTATCACTCTTTGGCCCCGTCTTACAAATAGTTGTGATTGATCAAAATCAATCTAAAGGACTCTGATCAATCGTAAGTTTGCAGTCTCCTATCTCTTATGTACTTATTTGAGATTGACATCAATCGCAAATAAATTGCGATTGATATAAAGAGAAAAACGGGGCCCTGATGTAATTCTGGCTTCATGAAGAAAAAAAGGGAGATCAGTTTAATACAGACACTTAAAATAATCCATTAAGGAGCGTCGCCTAGCTGCCTATAACTCTGGTGATTCTCTTTAATTCCACAGTTTCCTTCGCTCTGCACATTCCAAGCCAGTTGTTCTCGGTCCAAAATGGATCTTACTGCAAGGTTATCCTCCCCTGGGTCCATGGGAAACTGGTCTATGGCATCTACAGTAACGTCGCCCTGTTCTACTTGCCCACCTCCATCGTACTCTACTGCAATCTCAGCATCATCGCGAAGATCCGGCGAAGGAGGCCCGGTGTCAGCTACCTCGACCGCAACGCGCAACCTACCACGTCCCACGACACCACCGAAGATGGCCATGGTGGTACGTCAGCGGCGATCGCCACCAGTAAGCCGGTAGTGACTCGGTCGCCCAAAGACGCCAAATCCAGTCGACGTGCGCGTAGCTCGCGCATTATCGTTACGGTGGTGATCGCGTACATCGCCCTCAACCTGCCATTCTACGCGTTCTACACCCTTTCGCTGATCCCCGGTGCCATTCCGTGGAAAGTGTATTACGATGGTCACTCGTATCTTGGGCTGATGCTGCTACTCAATAGCGCCATTAATCCATTCATCTATTCCCTGATGGGTTCAAATTACAGAAAGCACATTCGACAGGCATTGCGATGTCTGTGCTGTTATGGCAAGCTCTGTGCCTCTCCCCCTCCCTCTGAAAATCCTCAAAGATCCGGAAAGTGTGATCGCAACGACACACAAAGCAGTATCACTGAGCAGTCACAGTGACGGCTTTCTTCTATAAAGAAGGGGGTAAGGTGGGAGGGGTAAGGGCACTTTATATTAACGTACGAATCGGGGGGGGGGGGGGGGGGAAGCGCCCCTTCAGAATGGGGGAAATATAAATAGTTAGGCAACTGTCACCTCAAATTCCAGGAGCAATGCTGTTTACATATAATTACCGTAATGATCTCAAAAAAATAGTTTACGAAGAAAAACAACGATCACTGTAAAAGAGGAATTGTCCATTTTAATGCTCTCAAGCTTCGCACACTCGTAAAATTCAGATATTGCAAACAAACTTACAAAGTAAAAAATATAGAAAGAGACATCAGCCCCCGAAAGAAATTACATTAGAATACCAACTAGATTATTCATACCCCTTGTAGATTTGATGTTTGTTGTGCTTTTTATAACTCAAGAATGAGAGGTGGATTTGTTGAATTAGGGCCTTTGTTTAATACGTTTACATGTAAACATTAATATGTTACATTCTCAAAAAACATAAATCGGGACCATTAAACTTTTCACATTTTTTATACACTGTCGCTCATAAAGTTGGAATATTTTTGTTTTACCCCAATTTATGGAATTATTTTAAAAATAATTTTAAAATAATAGATCTAGATAATAGTATACATTCTCAGAATTTATTGAATAATAATTTGCGTGTTTTGCGTGACTGCTAAAGCATGTGTATGCTACTATGCTTATCAACTAGGGGACCTACAACCTTAAATCATAAATGACAGTAATGAGGCTTAATGCCGCACAAAAGGGCACTAATATAGCACATCGACACGGTTTTGATCCTGGGGCCTCACAGCTACGAGGCCATTGCTTTGTCACTGAACCATGACTGTACGCAGCGGGGGCTAGGGTAGGGGGTAGTTTTCCGTCAATAAAAAAAACACAAAGAAATTGCAATAAATTTTCTATAATTTATTGCATTTTAACCCGGTTCCCAACATAAAAAGATCTTCTGTGTGCCCATGCCTTGAGCCATAATGCATGTCCGTCCAGAGGACGATATGAAAAGATTCGTCCATTGATAGCTCAATTTATATTTTTAACGAAATTGTTATCTTAACTATTTTCTGAACATAATTATGAACAAAACCCCCCCAAAACACAAAACTCGACGATCGCAATGCATTATAGGCGATTGATAATCAGTTTTATTTCGTCCAAAATTTTGGAACGCAAACAAAGTGGACTACTTGTAAACTGTGCATAAGCGGTGATAAGAATTTGCTTTTACTCAAATGTTCTGTACATGAGATGTAATGTATTTCTATCTTGGGTATTTACACGTAATTCATTTTTTAATTTTCTGTGCGTACGAACTTAGAGAGTTTGTGTATATTGTCATGGTTATTGATATTGTGTGAAATATAGTTACTACACTAAGCGTTTCTTTAACGACCTTGGTTACTGATTTATTTAAAAATACCTAAAAATTGTACAATTTGATATTTGATATTTGATTTTGTATTTTTACACAGTCATTCCCGTTATGTATCTCACATACACAAGTAAGAAGGATATGTATACCGATTATCGTTGTGAATAAGTAATTATCAATTTATTGGAGTTGAATATTTGTGCATTGTTATGACATAAGGTTTGATTTGATACAAGCCGTCTTAGTTTAGAATTGACCATACCAAATATCATGTGACTGACAAGTAATTAAGTATTCTCTAAACTTCATTGCACGTAAACGGAGGGAGGGGTGGGGGAAGAGGCTGTATAATAATCATTGTTCAAACTTTTCGGGGAATCACCATCTCTGGTTCGGAGACATTTTCGGGTTGGGGGCAGCGAGTGCAGGGGATCCGTGTGCCTCTTCCTGGAAAACAAAATCCTGATTATATGCAAGTGCGGTCTTTTGATGATTTTCATAATATTTCCAATTATAGATCAATGAAGAAATTAAGTAAAAAAATTGTGTTTTGATAAAAACGCGCCACTCTAGGGCTGTCACTTTTTGCAGGTTTTCAAAATGTGCTTGTTCGTTAGAAGTTTATAAAAATCTTAGAAGCTGGTATTCAGGCAAGAACCCCCCCCCCCCTCCCACCACCTAATGCTTTGGAAATTGTGCTTGTCCTTTTGATCCTACATTATTTCCTCCCTTCAACTCTGGGCTGGACCGCTCAGGGCTATACCGTTAAGGTATAACGAAAATAGATGCAATGGGCTCTTCCTCGCTTTCTCTCCCCCTCCTTCGTACTCAATCTCTCAAGCCCCCTGCTTCTATACCCTAGAGGTAACCCTGAGCGGCCCCGCCTAGACTTTAGGGAAGAAAATAACGTGGGACTTATTTTGAGATTAAGCTTTTCCAAAGTCAAATGTACATAGCATTGAAGTTTATGTTGCTATGTCCTTTTATTGACTAATCATGGGATTTCTTGGTATCAAAATAATATGAACAAGCAGTTTAGAATTAGCTTTCCGCAGACCTACCCACATGCCCAAATAAAAAAACAAAACAAACAAAACAAACAAACAAACAACATGTTTTTCAATCCTTACAACTTGTACCAAAACTGTGGGTTGCCTTTACATTTTAAAAAGGTCTTGTTGATCACGTTGACAGATCATTGATCTAACCTGCTTGTTTTCAATACTTCGAGCGACGGGTATGAAAGTCAAAAAGCCATTCGGCTTGTTGCCATAGTAACATATTCCTAATGATGACACGACACACGGAATTATTAATAGAGAAAGATTACTCATTATGCCCATGGGCGGTGCAACCGGGGTTTGAAGAATAGATTGTATAGGCTTACTCTTCTAAAAAATTGAAAGGGGGAAAATGCCACTGCAAGCTAAAATATGTGAAGAATATTTATTTTTTAATCTTTATTTCTCTCTCTTACAAAGAGAAAGAACCACCCTTCAACCAATTTAATTTTATGCAGGATCATTGACTGAAATTGTGGAAATTCATGAAATGTTTTTGTTTTCCTGCCAGTTGAAATTCAAAATTCCTCTGGTACAGCGACCTTCGGAATTTATGAACCTTCGGAAAATGACATTTAACCTTTGTGCCCCTAGCACATTCTGGGTCCGCCGCCGCAGTTTTGCAATGGGAACATATTAGAAATCCTTACTAATTTTGTTACCACCTTCGTAGAATTTCGCTATAGCTTCTCCTCCACATAAACAAAAATAAAATGGCGTGAGCCCTATTTCATTATTAAAAATTGCCGTAACTGCTCACGTCCAATTTCAAGAGGGGAAATATTGGGAAGAAGGAAAAGAAAGGACAAAATGGCTTCTTCCTGTACGTCATTTTCTCAAATCGATCGCTTGTAGCTTTACGTTTTGTATTTAGCTGAAAGTTCAAGGATGACTAACGTACCAGAACTATCCGGAAATATAACGGAAATTATGCACCAATTGTTCTTTACGGTATAAGATGAGACAAAATTTCATTATAATTATTTGGGTTTTATAAAATGCCATGTCCTTGCTATCATTGTATTTCATATCTTAATAAATGTGTTGTTTTTTATTATCTGGTTATTATGTATTTCTTATGGTCATCGCTCTCTTTGCAAAGCTTCTGCTGAACTTTGGAACAAACTACCTTTACGTGTCAAAAACTGTCAGACTGTCTCTCAATTCAAACTTGTCTTAAGACTCATTTATTAAAAATTTCTTTTGATGATTAACTTACTCTGTTCACATGAATGTATGTTTCACACGTATTGTAAGATGTAGGTATATTTGTTATTTCTTGTTGTGCTTAATATGTAATTGTTTATCATTGTATTTTTTATTGTTATAGCACTTCGACGGAAAGCATTTTATTATTTTATTGAAAGTGACATCTCTGTTATTAGGCCTATGATTAGTAATTTAGTATACAAATATTACACAGCAGTGAGGGCATTAGTAACAATTACCCACGCAAGGTAGCATTGGAAGAGTCTATTACGTCCGAGGTGACCGCCGAGGGTGTTTAATTAGAATGTTTCTAAGGGAAAGTGTGGGTAATTTTACTACTGCCCGAACAAAATGATGTCTATTATTTGTTTTATAAGATGATGTTTCATTTGTTACCAAAATTACGTGTTAGGCAAAGTAAATGACTGGTCACGTGTACTCTCTCAACCAATCATTGATTAGGATCCGTTTCATCATTTCAAAAGTTTCATTACACGATGTTTTTTTTTTGTAATATCAAAAAAAATATCTCAGTGGACTGAACTCGTTATCCAACTATGTAAAAACGTGCTATTCAATCCACACTTTCATAAGAAAACTAAAATCTAAAAAAAAATATCTGAAAATCAGATGTCAATATATTTGTTTATGGTTACTAAATGTATAGAGGTATATAGTGGCTTCATACTGTTGACCCTGAATCAAAGGGTTGAGGGTTCGAATCCCAGCCGGCACTAACGTCTTTTGGCAAGGTGTTAATCCACATTTGCCGTTCTCCACCCAGGTGTAAATGGATACCTGGGAATTGTTGGGGTAATACGAATTGCTGGGCCCTCAGAAAGAGCAACATTGATGATGATGAGCCTCCCTGGGTAAACAATTTTTAAAATATAATACTGTAACCAAACCTGTAATAAAATACAACAACCTACACGAAATACGGCCGTCATAAATAGTTATTATTCGTGTAAGCTCCTCGTTTTAAAGTTTTACTGGATTTTTGTCCTTCAGTTTATGTATTAACAACATTACATGAAAAAGGGTTCAGTTCATCAATTGCTATATTTTGATAATCAAAAGCAGTATACAGTGCAGTATATTTTCCAGTTGATGTATTTTTTAAAAAATCACGAAGGGATAAGTAAATGATCATAGAAATTGTTGTATAAGAATAAAGTACAAATATGTGACTTTTATACAGGAATCAACAACAGTTTACACTGTATTTTTACCGTTTTTTACATTTTAACAAAATACATGAAAAAAGGATAAGTAAATGATCATAAAAATTGTAATATCAGATTTTTTTTTTTTTTTTTTTTTTTTTTTTGGGGGGGGGGGGGGGGAGGGGTATACACCAGGGTTCCGAAACCCAATGGTTTATGAACCTAAACACTTTGTTGAAACAACGACATGTGAGTGGCCAGAAAGGCCCATAAACAAATTAAAAGGCGATAAATATTTTCCTTTGTGATTTTATCAAATGTAGTTGTTGTGTAAATATATTATCCTCTCGGCCGTTTGAAACGAATTTGGCTTATGCACTTAACCGTTCGTTAATTTGAGTGTGGTACGGTATGTCACTGAAACAGCTTCCGTAGGACTTTCATGCCAAATTTTTTTTGTTGCATTTTTGGATTCATTGGGGTCCAAGCTATCAGAAATTGATGGGGTTCAAATTTTCCCGAAGACACCAAATTTCCCTATTGCGCTATATATAAGCCATTTTGGCGCCCAATATGGACACCCAGGAAATGAAGGAGGTGTCTGAAAATTTGAACCCATCATTTTGGGCCAATTGGGACCCTTTTGAAGCCAAAACAGCAAAAAAAAATCAACTTTGGCAAACAAAATCATACGGGATTACATACCATACAAGCAAAAACTTCCTGTTTGTTTCAAAAGCTATTTTCTTCAGGGAGATTGTGAGCCCTGGCGCGCCTCTGGGTCATGGCAATATGTGCGCGCGTTCTCTTGAGCATATAAAACAGCCAGGCCTCTTGAAGCAGTCGATATCTCTATGACATGGACTGCTTTAATATTCGAAGCATAGCTGTTTCTATATTGGCTCTTGGGGACGTTACATCCTGCTATGACCGATCGTCGCGCCTCTGGGTCATAGCGTGATGTAACGTCCCCTTGAGCCTATAGAAACAGCGATGCCTCTCGTGGCAGTCGATATTATCTATAACTATAACATTTGTCTCTACATTGCCAGAAGGGCATATTATAACTCCTCTCTCTTTTTGTTTTACCTTGCCAACAAAACTTTTGGCTGATATGAGATTATTTCCTTTCAAAATGTCAATAGTAATCTGTACTATCCGCATGATCTATAGTTTTTCTCTACATTGCCGCAAGGGCGCACTTTTATCGCTTTTTATACTGTATATATATGATGTTTGTTTGTCGCTACAGTTACGAAAGGGCACACTTATCATGGGGGCGGGGGTTCACTTCTGGGTTGACTCGTACGCTTACGATAATTATTATATAATCTTAATTATTAAATTGTTTTTCACTTGTATTAGGACTGGGGGCGGCAGGTGGGCAGGGCATGATGGAAAAACAAGATACGACGTACTTGCAATTATCCGCGTTTGTACTATATCGACATGATTACGTAACTAGGTTTTTTTTCCTTCTCAACATTACCGCAAAGGCACATTATCGCTGTTTATATATAATGTTCGTCTCTCGCTACAAAACATGTCGTACTTGTAATTATGTTGAAGATCCTGAAGATAAATGCAAGAGATAATAAAAAACCGCCGGCTATTATATTGAGTTTACTTTACTTTCATCTCAAAATGTAAAGCCTTTTAAAATAAAAAGCCTTTTAAAATAAAACCACATCAGCCTGTCTCAACAGTGGTTCCCAGATAAAATCAGTCTCAACAGTGGATGCCAGATAAAATCAATAGAGCATAATGATTGCAGTCTAATATGCTGTTTTTAAGTAACTACTTAGAGCCTGTCTTTCTGATGAAAGGGGGGGGGGGGTGTATGTTTGGTTGTACACCACATGCTACCGCGATAATTGCTCAATGATCAAGGCAATCCAACTATAATCAGTAAGAGAAAATTCACTTCTGGGAAAGACGAGAGAGAGAGAGAGAAAGAGTGAACTATTTCATTCTTTATTATGTTTTTTTAGTGTGGAAGCAACCAATAGAAGAAAAAAAAAATGTCCCCTGAAATAGATGGCTCTTTAAATGCCATCATATTCAAAAGGTATGACAAGGAACAGCTGAGGATTGTGAACCACAATTTTCATGCCACATCTTTGTTTAGTCCCAACTACACATTTCTATGTACAGTGTATACGACCTTTAGAAAAGCCGCGCCAATATCTCATCAATTGGATGATTCCGATACCTCACATGCCTCACAGTATACACCAATGCTTACATGATCAGCCCTTTCCCCTCGCTTTCACATAGTTTCTTTCACAATGCAATCGCATGACCAAAACTCAAATTGACCTTTAAACTGAACCCCGGATAAAACAGTATAGGCCTACCTATAGCCCGAACCCTGAACCTAACCCTATTGCAACCCTGATCCTATATCTTTGATGAAGTTAACCCAGGGGAGATGTGAGTTGGTCTAGCTGTAATACCCGTGGCACGTTAGCTCTCTGTCTTCGCCTACAAACTGACTCGGCGGACCCCGGTTTGAGACCGACTCGCGCCTTTCGGATGGTGATGACGACCGGTCCCCAGACGAAGATAGTTAAAAAACAACCAACACCCAAATTACGCACACACACGACACGCACACTGGAGCAACAATTGTTGCTTGAAAAATTCCAAGCGCTGCACATCCCCCTCCCCCTCCCCCGCCCCCGAACCGGACCCTAGGATTCGCCACTACACAAATAGAAACATAAACAGCCAATTTAGAGGATATTAGTAGGTAAATATGTAGTGCCAATTTATACAGTACCATCAACGTTACACTGATGACAAAATACAATCAAAATTGCATTAAAAACAAAGAAAATCACTCTATTAATTCACAAAGATATGCATCTTATAAAAAAATACACAAAATATCACTCAATCATAAATCATTTGATTCATATTTATACAAATTTTGGAAAATATAAACAAATATATTCTGTTTTTTCTCAATCTTCAAAAAGACTCTTAATTATATAATGTGACTCATCATATACTTCGGCAATTTCTCAACAATTTTGAATATTGGATGTTTTAATTTATGCCTACCTACTGGACCATTTATGGATTTCATAAAACATGAATGATAATAAAAATCAGGATCATAAATCAACAATTTACACATACATGTATAATGGAAGATATATATATATTTTTTAAATAGAAAGATTCATACTTTTCTTATTCATTTTTTCTTCATCGCTCTAGAAAATACGTCCTACCGGGTAATTATTCGTCATATCTATGATTTAGAAAACGAGAAAAACCCATTATTTTAATCTATTACAAGCTATTAAAAAAAAAAACTACCTCATATGCCATACCAATCATACTTCTATTTTAAACTGTGGCACACGAGGGAATATCATACATGATCCTTTAAAATCTAGAAAAATAAACTTGTCTGTTTGGAGCCAGGAGGGAATTAACTAATAATCGTTTTACACAGAAATAACTCCCTTTTGGCTCCAAAACAGGCGGAGTGTTCATTAAAAAAAAAAAAATCATTTATTTATTTAATGATATGGGATAGCCCATTCCACATCAGCTGGTCAGCCGTGGGGCCCTACTTCATTAACTTGAAGCAGAAAGGCAATATATCTAGACTAAAAATTCAAAACTAAATGAAGGTTTACATAATTATAAACCATGTGCTTTTTAGGGTTTTAGTTTCGATGTCTACAAAATATCTCAATGACACTGTAATAACTGATACTGTCAAAATGTGATTTAGTATGACTGTAAGAATTCACCTCCTTAAAGATGGAATCTATTGTTCACAAAGGTCTATGGTTGGTTCCTTAGGAAAATATTCCTATGGCTATTTTGCCTTAATGCCCAAATGTCACATATTCAAGATATACGTCTGAACATTCAACAGTAAAATGAGATGTGATTTCTGCTTTTTCATGATTTTATTAAAAATTCCATATTTGACACCTGTTGACAAATCAGCTCAAAAACCAAATATTGAAAAAAAATCTCTTAATTTTAATTTTCTTGTGTGTAGAATGTACTGAAATCTTTTATATATATATATAATTGACTTTTTAAGAAGAAACAAATGTTGAATTTATCTCTTTAACATATATTTATATGTACTTCTATTAATACACCCGCTTTCCCAAATACTCTAAACTCCCATTTGAAATGAATTATTCATGAAACAAACTATAATACTACCAAAATAATGTACATGTAGCAATCTTTGCACTTTCACAAAAATAACAGTTTTATAATATATTATACAAACTCTAACAACTTAATCATACCCCGAAACAGACCGCGAACGACCCCGAAACGGACCCGAAACGGACCCGAAACGGACCCGAAACGGACCCGTAAATTGACAAAAGCTTGACCATCCGAGGTAAATGATTTGTTTTCCTTTCTGTTTGGTCTGATGTAAGTCTCATTGGTGGTATAGCCTAGTTGGACCATCAAACCGACTCCAAATCAACCAAAACTGGGCCAAAGCCTATATAGTGTAATATTTTGTTCATTCTATTGTCAGTCTGGGGTCGAACTGAGGTCGAACCGGGGTAGGTCTGGGGTCAGTCTTGTCAGTATGACTGGGCAGCATCATAAAGCAATAGTGCTACAATGAAATTGATAATCATGAGATACAATACCATTCTCATTCATAACTTACAAATTCAATGTCCTTAAAAATCAAGCCCTGTTTTCCTAGCTGCTTTCTTCAACATATACAAATGATTTTGGAATGGACATATTGGATACTGCATTGACACATAAGATATAGATATAATAATATCAAACTGATTTATAACATGACATATAATACAAGAGCTGTAGTAAAATAGACTATTTGGATGTTAAATAATACACAGAATCAGAGAATCTATACAGTTCATTCAATACTAACCATGAACAATATGAAACGTTTGTTGAACTAATCAAATTCCATAGAACAGACTCTTCTATACGGTTCCAGAGAAAAGACAATGAACGTCCATCATCACGTGGAGAGTTCATAAGACGAATGCATCAAGAGCAAAGCGAGAACTTCACTGGACTTTTGCCAGTACCAAACTTGCCTCTGACATTGAATTGAAATGAATTTTCATGATGTATAATATCAAACATACAAATGAATAGAATCCATGATGATAAATGCAATAAGTGTGACTCGTCTCCAAATACTGGAAACTGCAAACGTGAATTATCCTGTAACCAACATAATCTCAAATGAAAGAAATATGGTTCATTGACAATACATTGATATGGGAGTTGAAAATTAGATTGATTTAGCATAATTTAAGAGGAGACAACTGATATAAAAGGAGATCATCCTATTGCCTTTCTTTCTAATGTAATATGTACATGGAATCACAACATTTTTTTTAGTATGATTGAGCTCCTCAATATTGCATGTGGCTGCCTTCTGTCTTATACATGTACCATTCAGTAACCCTACAAGAGTTTTGAATCACATTGTGTTGCCTCATGAGATGAGAATCGTTCTTTTACCTAAACGATAAGTAATTACCCTTTTCCAGTCTGAACATCGTTTAAAGAAACGTAGAACGAAACGGCTGGTTGAGCATGGATTCAAGCCCGCTTTCTTGTCAAGCGACCTCTTCAAAAGTAATAGTTTCTTTACATGCCGTTCTTTTATAAAGCGTTGTTTTCCCAGTCTGTAACTGCAACTTTCGCTATACAATGAAATTCGATACAACAGTTGCTTTATGACATATATATCACAAGCAGAATGTGTATTATCTTCGCACTTCTAAAATCACAATATCAATTGATGGGAGGGGAAACAAACCGGGAGCATTCTTTTGGGCCTTGCATGCCATATTTGCCAGCAAACATGACCGTTTACTAATACTAATGTACTTTTGCCCATATTCTACAAGACCTTTTGAGGATGCTATGAAAGTGTTAATCAAAACAAAAATGCTATATAAAAACTAGCTATTGTACATAAGAATCGTAGGGGGCTGGTGCGGGGTGGACATCTCTCGCACCATTACAAATCTATCATTATACACTAAAACATGAAATTCAAAGAAAAAAAATAGCCTGTTCAATGCCTCGATTGAACACAAGTATGAAGAGGGAATATATATTCATTTCTTCTTCTCTAAAAAGGCAAAGGAAAAGAAAAAGGAATACCTAGGATAAACCTCTGCATTAAGTACAACTAAAATGTATAATAATAACAAATGATATAAAAGCTTTCTGACTTCTTTACCACGTTATCTGAAGATAGTGACTGAATTCTTTGGTAAAAGGGAGCTATGTTGAAATGCTTTAGGAGTTAGGACATTGGACAAATGTTTCCCTTATGAGCTAGACTTGCTTCTAAATGGTGTATTACCTACTATTAATCTTTAATGAGTAAACAATATCAATCATTCACAATTCAATACCTGCTAAAGGAATCTAACAGAAAATCACAAGGAGCAATTTGGAGAAATTACTCATTGATAAAGGAAGAATTTTGCTCTTTTACCCAACAAATGCTGGGAAATAACTTTTTTGAATGCCCAGTCTCACAGAGTTACATTGGTGTGGGTCTCTGCTGCTAACACAATTCAAACTCTCTGAGGATAATATCACGTATGACAGGGGATTGAAGAGGGTAAAAATTAATAAGTTTAATTTTAAATTGCTGAAAGATCTACATAGTTCCTTGGGAAGAACCCAGTCTTGCCGTCGACTTCTCCTTGTAGCCAGTTCTCGTCGACTTCCGAAATGAGCGTGATCATGTCTCCTTCCGAGAAGGCAAGCTCCTCGTCGTTCTCAGGCTCAAAGTCGTAGAGGGCCTTGCAAATCCGAGCTGTCGGAGCTGCTGGTGGTGCACCTGAGAGGTGTAAAGAAAAACAAGAAATGAAAAACTGGATATGAAGAATGTTTCAAATACAGGCTTAAACATGACTCCCTTGTGCACAGTGAATGTATGTGTGTGACAGAGAGAGAGAGAGAGAGAGAGAGAGAATAAGAGAGAGAGAGAGAGAATGAGAGAGAGAGAGAGAGAGAGAGAGAGAGAAACAGCCTTGCTTGTTTGAGAAAAATACAGAAAAGCGATGGCAACGGCGCATCTGAGCCTTTGGCTCAGGTGAGCTTAAAAGCTAATAGTCCCATTAACGACTGACAACCAATTAAGATGGTTGGGGCAAGGACAAGAAGAAGCAATGTTAGAGAGAAAACAAGGGAAACGCTCTCGGCGGTCTTGCCTGCATAACGCAATTCAATATGATAAACCAGAACGTCAATGACGTAGCGCTCATCCGCATCTCGCAACAACAAATATCGTAAATTTTATGTGGTACACTTTTGAACTGGTCAAAAAATAAAAATTTGATGCCCCGGAAGGGACATAATTTCATTTCATTTGCATAAAGTACCATAAATAATCAATGGAGCAAAATTTCACATTTTTGTGTAGAAGTTTAGTGTTCCAAATTTAGCTCTACCAGATAAGGCAAACCAAATCAAAATCAGTCAAGAAATGAGGGAAAAGAAGCAATTTTTGTTATTTTTGGAATAAATTTGCATAAATTACAATAATTAATTAATGGAGAACAATTTCAAAATTCTATGTAGAAGTTTAGTGTATCAAATTTAGCTCTATGATATAAAGCAAACCAAATGAAAATCGGTCAAGAAATGAAGGAGAAGAAGCCTTTTTTGTGATTTCGAATACATTTGCATAAATTAGCATAGATAACGAATTTCATGATTCTGTGTAGAAATTTTAGATCCCCCTCCTAGCCCTATAATATGAAACAATCGGAATCAAAATCGGTTGAAAAATAACGAAGAAGAAGCATTTTGAAAATCTTGATGTTGATGCCACAACAAAGTCGAAGTTTGTTGACCTTAAATGACATTTGATCTTAACTTAGTGATCTGAAATTCTACTCACATGATTGGGGATACTTGATTACCCTATAATCAAAGTTTCATTGACTAAGAACTTATACTTAAAAAATTATATCAAAAATTCAAAAACTTAACGTTAGGTTAAGTTTTTGATGTTGACGCCGCCGCCGCCGTCACCGGAAAAGCGGCGCCTATGTCTCGCTTTTTGCTACGCAGGCGAGACAAAAAAACAGTTCCTTTTTATAAAACAACAATTTGGGCTCCATCTCTCAATGTTTTCCACCCACATTATATATTATAGTTAACATTTTATGTCCCTTATCATGAGCCTGATGATGAACTGTAAAAGGGTTATAGCAAGAAGAGTAGAAAGCAAAATACAGTCAAACTTGTCTTGGTGGTCACCTGTGAATAGTGGTCATAAATTTTGCATCCCTCAAGAAAGAAATAGGTGTTGTAGAACCTGTTCAGAGAGGCCACCTGCATACAGTTAGCACTTTTCCCATGGGTTACCTAATTACTTGTACATCTTTCTATGCGATTCCGCTGTTTATATCGATGCTGTTGTTTTTTAAAGATGAAAAATCGTTTTTCAAGAGGCAATATCGTATTATCGTATTTCATTTGTTTTTTCGTCCAAAATATGATAAAATCTTACTGGTTGGCATCTCTGTACTAATGACATCCTAATAAAAAAATGACGTTTAATGAAATTCTATGAATATATCAGTAAAATATTTCAAAATGCCAAATTAATTGAACCCACTCAAATCTATGTACCTTAATTACATTTTCACGAAATATACAAATAAAGGAGTGGACCACTCATAGGTTAATTAGTTATAATTTCCATTGAATTGGTCTTGCGTTGGCAGGATAACACTCTGATCAATCTATGAATGTATTGAAATTGGTATGACAATGGGGCATATATTAGACACAGGAACAAGCTTCTGGTCATACAAAGAGAGGATAATTAAAGATAGAGCCAGGAAAAAAAGTACCAAGAAGAAAGCAATAATCAACAGCTTGAATTTTTTGAAAGATCAGCTCTTTTCACGGAAATTCTTTATTTTCATCTAAATAAGATCATGAAGAATTTAAATTGTAAGAAACAAATAATACATCTAGGTCAAGAGGTCATAGGCCGCCCAAATAGTGGCTACCGGTATATCCATTATGAAACTGATGTTTGTACTTAACATGACAAAAAGGAGAAAAAGAAAGAATGAGAGAAAGAAAAAATTGGAGAAAGTAGGAAAGAAGTAGGAGAGAAGAAGGAAAGAAAGAAGGAAGTAAAAAAAGAAGGGAAAAAAAGAAAAAAAAGAGAAGGAAAAAAAAGAGAAGAAAGAAAGAAAGGAAAAAAGAAGGAAAAAAAGAAGGAAAGAAGAAGGAAAGAAGAAGGAAAGAAAAGAAGGAAACAAAAAAAAAAGAAAAAAGAAGAAAAAAAAAAGAAGAAAAATGACTCTTTGGTTTCCTTCCTTCAAATTGCTTTTAATCCATCATGTGTGAAATATGCATCACTTGAGTAGCATCACATGAAAGAGGAGACTCTAAGCTTTCCAAATATGTATCATTCATTAATTATAGTTGTGATTAAGTTACGATAAAACATTGATACTTCTCGGTTTCGTTTTTTCTGGGACGCACTGTATATACATATATATATTTTGCAGGGCACATCAATTGTTAAAATGAGTAAATTACTCCTATTACTGACATGAGTATTACACTAAATACCAGCCAGGGGTCTAGACTATGATGAATTTTTTACCCAATTGCCCTTAAAGAAAGCATGTGCATGCTTGTAATCAATAAATAATAATATTTGGTTTTTATATAGAGCATATCACATTATACAACGTCTCTATGCGCTTCCAAAGAGCTTTGAAAGTTATTACCCTAGCTTTAGCTTCGGCAGCCGTATTAAGCGCACAGTGCATTTCAAGGAGTTATCCTACCAGGTACCCATTTACCTCACCTGGCTCAAGTGTGGCAAATGTAGATTAATATCTTGCCAAAGGACAAGTATTAAAGCAACCAGAGGACCGACGGCTTTAAGTCCTCTCTCAAAGACTAGGGAACAAATACCTTTTCTCAAACAAACGATATAGTACAGCCTGTAATGTCACAATATTGAATCCCGTGAGATAATTGTGCCAAAATTGATTTTTTTGGGCTAACTTTGTCAATTTGGGGGTGCTGAATCCAAAAAACTTTGGTACCATTTTTTTCGACCACGTCTTAGGCGGCCATTTTGAATTTCAAAATGGCCACCATAAAAAATGCATTTTTTACCATTATTTCATATTATAGACATTGGAGAAGGTGCAAATGTGGGATAAAATGTATGCTTATGATGTCTGATATATCAATACACATTTTTATAAAATTTTGCTTTATTTCGATTGGCCGCCATCTTGAAATTCAAAATGGCCGCCATTGCTAATCCTATTTTATCTCATGTCTCAAGTTATAAGCACCTGGAAAGGTTTGTACCGTAACAGTATCATAATATTGATGCTATGTGTGTTTTCAAACAAAACACAAGCTCCCAGTAACTGACCATTCGAATTGGCCACCATTTTGAAATTCAAAATGGCCGCCATGGAATAACATTTGCTATATTAATTCGTTTGAAAGTACCTTAGAATCATCCATTTTGAGAGATCATCTGTATTTAAAGCTTGCAGGACCTGGTACATAGAATACCGGCTGTCATCTTGATCATCGTATATATGCCTAAACGCATCACCCCCCCCCCCCTTCTTCCACCCGGGGGGGGGGGGGGGGCTTAATTATAACATATAACAGTTACTGAATGTGGTGTTAAAGAAAAACTAGAAAAATAAATGCCTTGGACTGGACGTATTAAAACTTCAGTGTGCAAATACAGGCCTGTTATTCCAGAGATAAGACATGATGAGACACGCATCACATCAGAATGCAGTATCACGTGTCTATGCAGATTGCCAGCATACATCTTTGATATGACATGTGCTCCCCATGTGCTCTCACCCACGTGGATGTATGTGTATAGATACATGAGAGAGCAACCAAACTTCAATCTTCCACAGGGAACAAGAACTGGATTCTTCGAATTGGTGAACTCCATGCCTGCTTCGCATCACTGCATGCAATTGCAAAATATCTCGAGGACAGTGGCTTGGAATCTATTAGCATTGAAGCAGGCCTCTTTTCCCCTTCAACGATCCGCCAAATATTCACTGGAAAGTGGTTCAAACGTGGTATTGAATTCCACATGACCAACATCATGGCGTGCTATGATCTCCTGTTTGAAGCATCAGTACATCATGAGCACTTGGACAGCATGATTAAGAAATGCGAAGAGCTTCGTAAGAAGTTACACGAGAGAGATAGTGACATTAAACAGGTTTTTGAGGAGGTAACTTCGATGATTAAAGAGCATTATCAAACCACAATCATCCAAGAGAATGACGAGATGGCAACATTCTTACTCAACTACATGAAGCAAGTTGAGAGTTTACTGCATGTGATTCGAGCTAGCAGACAGGGGAACTGGGAGCTGCATCTCGCTTCCATGGAAGAGCAGGTCAAGTACTACTTTGCACATGACTTATACAAGTATGCTTGGCTCGTGCCAATCCCGCCCCCCCCCCCACTCAGAGGTCGGAATGACCGCATGCGTGTTGCCAAAATGTCCGGTAAAGGGGTACTTTTCGTGAGACAAAGTCCGGCCCGAGAATTGTAAAAAAAAAAGGGGTGTATTTGACTTTTCACCCGGAGATTTCTTTAAAAAGGGGGTGTTTTTCTTTTTTTCTCTCATCTCTTTGGACTCCTGAGAAATTATTCCGAATTTAGGGGGGTACATTGAGCATTTTTCCTGATTTAGGGGGGTCTCCAAGGCAGGAAAAGCACGCGAAAAGCCCGCGAAAGGGGGGTTCGGAAATGTTGGCAGTCCTCAGATAGGGGGTGCTTTCAAAAAAAGGGTACGAGCATATGCGTACCCTAAACACTGAGTGGGGGGGGGGGGGGCCGGGGTGCCAATCTACCTTCTTCAAATGCATTCGCTGAAGACATCTGATCCTACTACTTGGGATGCACTAAAGGCAGGGGACTTCATGATGGTCACTAAATCTGGCATCCCATTCACGAACCTATTTGTTGACCAAACATTGGAACAGCTGATCAGGGAAGTGAAAGTAGCTGGCGGCATCACTGGAATAACACAAAATGAAGAAGCACTGGGTAGGTTTTTCATGATTGCCCCTGAATTGGTCATCCTCATTCAAGACTTCCAAGATGCTTACTGTTGTACCACCAATGACTCTCAAACTACGAAGGAGCACTATCAGCTCAGTGGTTCTGTGGCTCTTCGCATGCACAGTAATTCCTCAACAATCAAGAAAGCAATCATACGACACTGCGAGGGCAATCCATTTGAAATCAGGTCAATGAAGCTGATGAATATGGTATCCAACATGCAAGTTCCTGAAGCTTTCAAGGAGGACATTCTTGAAAGAGATGTAAAGGGAAAGATCATGTTCCAAGAATTTGTATCTGACAGAATAGTTGAGTCATCGGCCAAGAAATCTATCTGGGACCCAATGAGGAAGGCCAAACTGAAGACATTCAGCTCTTGCAGAAAGAAGACACAGTGTAAGATTGGAGCCAAGCTCGTCAAGCTAAGAGAGGATCGCCAACTTCTTGCAAGATTTCTCGTTGTTCAGCAGTCCAGACCTGGAATGATACATTCACCCAGTGACACAATTGGAAAATATGAATTTTCTGTCATTCCTAGGTCGCTATTTACCTCAGATGGCCTTCTCCTTATCCCATCAGACAAAAGCTCTTTCATCCATGCCATAGAAACCTATGGAACTGAACCGAATAGTCAGTCTGAAGACCAGATCAATGAGCAGCAAGATTCACCCAACATAGAGACATCAGGAGAAGACAAGAAAACAGACAAACTGTGCATCATCGATGCCATGGCAGTTGTCCAGGCCATAAAGAAGTCCCCATCAATGGTTGACTGCTCCGACTTTGCTGCTGCTTTTGTTAGGAGCATAAGGAAAATTGCATCCCAGTACGATGAAGCACGTGTTATCTTTGATAGATACATTGATGATTCCCTCAAGGCACAGACTAGAGGGAAAAGGACTGCAGGTATTGAACCAGTGAAGTTTGATATCAAGGACAATACCAACATCAAGCTCGTTTCACTGAAGACTCTTCTGTCTCACAACTACACCAAGTCGCAACTGACAGAATATCTTGGAAAGGCTGTTCTGCATGAGTATACAAATAGTAGCAAGAACGTTGTTGTCGTCTACGGAAATGCTACATATTCCAACAAGCATTATGTTTGATCCAGAACTCACCCATCACACACATGAGGAAGCGGATACACTCATCCCATTGCATGTACTGGATGCTACCTCAAAAGCAGCAGAGAACATCATAGATATTGATGTTTATTCTCCAGACACTGACGTCTTTGTATATCTGATGGATCTTTGTTCTACACACAATGTCTTAGGTCGCCTTTGCTTCATCACTGGAAAGGGAAATGCGAAACGTACAATTGACATTGCTGAGAGATGTTCTGCAGTTGGTAGCGAAAAAAGCAAAGGTTTGCTTGGTCTACATGCATTCAGTGGTGCCGATTGGGGTGGTAAATTTGCAGGCATCTCAAAGAGCAGATGGATCAAGCAGTATTTGGGCCTTGACCCAGAATGTGACATAGTCCATGCATTCCAAATATTAGGTGAAGAAGACTTCAACCAGGAAAGTGTGTTATCAGTCTTGGAAGACTTTGTCTGCAAGGTGTATGCTAGAAACAGCAAAGCCACAAAAGTGAGTGACCTTAGATGGGAGTTATTCAGGGCAAAAAATCTTGAGGCAGAAAAGCTCCCACCAACCCTTGGATCCTTGACACCACACATCCAGAGGGCAAACTTCGTAGCCAGAGTCAACAAGGGATACAAAGTTCCAAAACCAAAGCTGCCCCCTCTAGATGGAAATGGATGGGAGCTTTCCCCAGAAGGAACATTCAGTGCAACCAAGTGTTTAGAGCTTCCTGGTCAAATGCTCATGTCGGAAGGAATGCAAAAGCCATTGCTCTTGCAAGAAGAACCATCTGCCTTGCACAGCCCTATGCAAGTGTTGTGACTGTGAAAATACACAGGACTATGATGTGAATAGCCCCGATGTTGACTAGGTGAATATAAAATTATAGATTATAAGAAATTGTTGTTTCAACGTCGCAACTAAACTCACATCCATAAGATTAGTTGTCATTTTAGACACAGTTGTAAGGAGGTACATTTGGTAGACATTTGGTCTTTGAAATCACAATCGCATGATTTATCAGTCTCAGGTTATGCCATGCATTATATGTCATTATTCAATTCAACATATCGCAATATAAAGCAGGAGTTGACTGCCGTGATTGATTCTAGAATCACATGCCTTCCAAAATGATTGATTTCGCATTTTAAGCGCTCCAATACCCAATATGTGTTACAAATCTGAAATACCATATTATGGCGGCCATTTTGAATTTCAAGATGGCGGCTAATTAGAATGGTCATCATTAAACGAAGCATGTATTTCCTTTTAAAGCATGTATATCATCATAATGATGATACTATAACAAGTTTTAACCTTTCCATGCACTTCTAACTTGATATTCAAGTTGAAATAGGCTTAACAATGGCGGCCATTTTGAAATTCAAAATGGCGGCTTATCCGGAACAAAGCACAATTTCATGGAAATTTGTATTACTATATCAGACATCAATGCCATGCTTTTTATCCGAAATTTGAACCTTCTATGATGTCTATAATATGAAATAATGCTCAAAATGCAACTATTTATGGTGGCCATTTTGAAATTCAAAATGGCTGCCCAAGACGTGGTCGAAAAAAATGGTACCAAATTTTTTTAGATTCAGCACCCCGAAATTGACAAAGTTAGCCAAAAAAAAACAATTTTGGCACGATTATCTCACGGGATTTCATAGTAGCCTCTACTAATAGATAAATGTGTCCTTACTTGATGGTTTGTATGAGATCTGTCTGACACCGCTGTCATCATCGTCATCACTGTCTGTGGTGTGGGAGTTACTGGACAGGGTACTGGTCACTACTCTCCTAGGTTTGTAGGCCTTTGGCTGGTTCTCTGCCTCCATGATCCTGTAAAAAAAAAAAAAAAAGGAGAGGAAAATCAAGAGTGTAAGCATTACTGACATATTTTTGTTGCATGATGGTTGAGGGAATAAAATCAAATGGGAGGTGATGTATGAATGATATTGTCTATGAACAACTCTACGGGCAAAAAAAAAACAAGGTTGTTGAGCCAAAATCTGATTCTGTTGATCTAGATCTGTAATGGTAATTGACTGTTGTTTTTCTTTATTTGTATTATAACATTCCAAGCATGGTCAACAATGGGGACTCGCAAAGTTTCAATGTTTGAGCGCCAAAGAGATTGCTAAACCTAATTTTCACCAGAAGGGTGCTTTACACTACTTATCCAATAGGTCACCTCGTGGAGAGAAGCTGTATGCAAACACTTTCAAAATGTCAATTTTTTGGTGTTCATTAATATGATAAACTCATATTATTCTCTTTGTCTCCCTTGATATTCAACTTCTCTTATCTGCCATGTGACAACTATAATTTCTGATTCTACAATTCTTTAAAAAAATTATACGGTAAATAATGATTAACAAAATTGAAATGAAAATCCTTGAGAGTTCACTTCTTATTTCATTTTGATTCTTCTTTTAATCATTATTTGAATATTACTGTGACTGAGGATATCCAAATTGAATTATTTGTGTTCATATAAATATATAAAACCAGCAAAAAAACAACTTTCTAATCTACATGTAGATATATAGAGCTGGTATAGAGGAGGAGGAGAAGAGGTGGAGGTGGAGGAGGAGGAGGAGGAGGAGGAGGTGGAGGAGGAGGAGGAGGAGTAGGATGGAGGAGAAGGAGGAGGAGGAGGAGGAGGAGGAGGAGGAGGAGGAGAAGGAGAAGGGGGAGGAGGGGAGGAGGAGGAGGTGGAGGAGGAGGAGGAGGAGGAGGAGGAGGAGGAGAAGGAGAAGGAGAAGGGGAGGAGGGGAGGAGGAGGAGGAGGAGGAGGAGGAGGAGAAGGAGAAGGGGGAGGAGGGGAGGAGGAGGAGGAGGAGGAGGAGGAGGAGGAAGGGAGGAGGAGGAAGGGAGGAGGAGGAGGAGGAGGAGGAGGAGGAGAAGGAGAAGGGGGAGGAGGGGAGGAGGAGGAGGAGGAGGAGGAGGAGGAGGAGGAGGAGGAGGAGGAGGAGAAGGAGAAGGAGAAGGAGAAGGAGAAGGAGAAGGAGAAGGAGAAGGGGGAGGAGGGGAGGAGGAGGAGGAGGAGGAGGAGGAGGAGGAGGAGGAGAAGGAGAAGGGGGAGGAGGGGAGGAGGAGGAGGAGGAGGAGGAAGGGAGGAGGAGGAGAAGGAGAAGGGGGAGGAGGGGAGGAGGAGGAGGAGGAGGAGGAGGAGGAGGAGGAGGAGGAGGAGAAGGAGAAGGAGAAGGAGAAGGAGAAGGAGAAGGAGAAGGAGAAGAAGAAGAAGAAGAAGAAGAAGAAGAAGAAGAAGAAGAAGAAGAAGAAGAAGAAGAAGAAAGAAGAAGAAGAAGAAGAAGAAGAAGAAGAAGAAGAAGAAGAAGAAGAAGAAGAAGAAGAAGAAGAAGAAGAAGAAGAAGAAGAAGAAGAAGAAGAAGAAGAAGAAGAAGAAGAAGAAGAAGAAGAAGAAGAAGAAGAAGAAGAAGAAGAAGAAGAAGAAGAAGAAGAAGAAGAAGAAGAAGAAGAAGAAGAAGAAGAAAGAAGAAGAAGAAGAAGAAGAAGAAGAAGAAGAAGAAGAAGAAGAAGAAGAAGAAGAAGAAGAAGAAGAAGAAGAAGAAGAAGAAGAAGAAGAAGAGAAGAAGAAGAAGAAGAAGAAGAAGAAGAAGAAGAAGAAGATTTCATTCATCTGTGTCAAATCCTGCCACAGAGGGGGCTATACTACTTCAAGCTGAACATGCATCAACTCTGTTCATGAATGAAAATTCATTCACAAATCAAGTGTGCATTCTAATATATGATGGCAACTATTTCTAATATTCTATGAAATAGGGATTTTTCATACTTCAGGTTTGGGAAGGTACATGTATATGTCCGTAAAGGTAAAATAATGTGCTCAAAATATTGACAGCCGGTCTAAATACTTTATTTATTCATGCATGAACACTATAAAGCATGTGGAATCAAACGCAATCTGAAATTTAGCTCAAAGAAGTCTCTTGAGTTCATGAAAAAGACCCCAATCTCTACCGATACTGAAAATGCAAGTTTGTTTTTCAATCTAATAAGGGATTTGATCTGTAGTACTAGTTCAGTTGTTCAACATTTACAATCGTCATTCAAATTCAAAGTTTAGTCAACACTCTTCACAGAAACATTTAAAACATACAAATACAGAATGAAGTTATAAGTATAAAAAAAAACACAAGAAAGTGATAACAAATACTATGGCAATTTATAAGAGCATTTTGGATAGGCAGAAAGGAGGGAAGTTCCTTATATAAAAGTCTACCCCTAAAAACACACATACATGAAAACGAGAACAAAAGAACAGAACAAAAAACAAAGAACATATTAAAACTTACTATCATGCACGATCAGAGAATATAAAAAAAAAATGTCAAAAATTGGCCCATACTATTGATACTGATTATTATACTTGTTTAACATGTCATTTGAAGATTATCGCCTTTAACCTATAGCAGTGCTGCAGGTCAGAGTTCAATAAAGGTCTAAATGAATCAGCTCCACCTCCTCAAATTGGCAGCAATTATTTGAATGTTATATTCTTCCACAGTTTAAAAAGAAAGAAAGAAAGTTAAATGAACCACTCTCTGTGTCCCCACAATCAACAAGTTCAGACAAACTCTAGCTATAACTTCCTAGTTTCTACACTTTCCTTTTCTTGAGAATTGTCCCCACAATCAACAAGTTCAGACAAACTCTAGCTATAACTTCCTAGTTTCTACACTTTCCTTTTCTTGAGAATTGTCCCCACAATCAACAAGCTCAGACAAACTCTAGCTATAACTTCCTAGTTTCTATACTTTCCTTTTCTTGAGAATATTTTACCATGTGCTTGTTTTTCTTATGCTACTCATCTTTCACGCTGTAGCCTAGAATAACTACAGAGTACTTTTAAGCTGATGACGACGGAGAGCTGGAATATCCATTTACAAAACCAGTCGGAAATGCAGCTCAATTACTAAGCTTTTCAAGAAATAGTTTTTCTACTAAACTCAAATTCTAAATGCATGACAAATCTAAACCCAAGTTTGGATCATTACTATTAAGTAAATCTTTCCTGAAGACTTTAAAGGTACTATGTCCCATTTTCGGGCCCCCGAAATGAAAAAGGTTAAATTCCAACGGAAATTGAAAGATAATACGAATTAAGATTTTCCCTTAAAAAAAAAAAAGGGCCGGAAAATGTCTTTTTGTGGGGAAAAAACAGTCATAAGTTGTCAAATCAACTTTATTGATTACAATCTTTTTTAGTACTAATCTGATTTTCAGACCCTTGTATCGAATGGTCTTACATTTTGTGCTGCGCAAAGATTCAATCAGTTTTTTATTTTGGCCATTACAAGAAGTGGTTTATTGATGTAGACATATTCATAATTCCTGTGAAGTTCTACTGAATTTGAAGTTGGCTGCAAAAGTGATACACTACCTTTAACAGTAGTTGGAGATGATCGCTAGCTAGAATTACAGTATGCCCATGCATCGATTACGATATATCGAAAGTGATATCCAAACTGTCCACTATGTGCCAAAAGGGAACTAACTCCAACTCACATATGTTTAAATAGAGCGAACACCCTTCTGGCTCTCTGCCGGCGTAACAGTGGCTCCCACAAAGTGAGTATTATCCCATTTATAAGTTTTCTGTGACATGAAATATTCCAAGCTTTATTTCATTAAGTCTCAGCTCTTGAATGAATTTATTATGTCTAAACTTTAAGGCCATGTTGTCTACTCAAGTGGTCAAACTGAAGAGGACAGTAAGTAGCATATGTACGGAAATGTCCTGACACAGGACCCACTTCTATCTGTACTGATTTACATTCTGAAATGTCTAGAACAAAGTAAATCATGTTATTGAACCTTGTAAGCATAGGTTAACTGCTAATGTCCCAAAAAGACTTTCATTACGGGGCAATAGTACTTCATTAAATCAAAAGGTACAAGAGATCAATAGGGTCTAGTCATCTCTGAAGACATACATTCATACATACATAGCTAAAGTTCGCTATAATAGTATACATGTACTTTCACAAATCAGTCTCTTTCACATTCATTGTTCAATATGTTTCTAGTTTTTACAGTGAATACATTTGATTGACAAGCGAGGACTTTTATCAACAAAATGTGAATGCAATGGTTTTGTATTTCTGTAGGAGCTTAAATGGAAGTTGTCAATTATCCATATGACAGGTTTCTTCCTGTATGCTTAGATAATTGCACAGGATAAAAGTCATAATAGAAGATCAAATTGCATATACAAACTGCAAAATACTTATTAATATTGTATTCAAAAAAAGAGAAAAACTCAACATAGCCCGTGAGACTGACAGCCAAGAGACCGATTGCCAAATAGACAGACAGCCCACACTATGAAAATGATGGACAAAGAAAGCGGACAAAATATACAGTTCCTCAGGTAGACAAAGTAAATGTAAAAGTAGTATGTAAAAATGTGTAGAACAGGTGAATATGCATGTGACACCTGTTCTACACATTTTTACACAATAGCAGTGAAGGGATGTTCCTTTGTCTACCTGAGGAACTGTATATTTTGTCCGCTTTCTTTGTCAGTCATATTCATAGTGCCATGAGAACCTCCAGATAACTATTCAGAGAGTTTACAAGACCCCCCTTGTCAGTCTAATGGGTCTGGGATGTCCCAATCCAATACATGAAGAGCAGTTTACCATCATTATATCTCTGTTTGAAGCATGCAGGCTTCGCAAAGGAACATGCCATCTAAAAGGTCGATTCCTTTATTAAAACTCTTGCAAGATGCAACACTAGAGGGGGTTGGTTGGGTGTATGGAAATGCCAGAGCCATCTATACACAGAGTTGGGCCAACCCAGTTTGAGTTGGACACAATATGGCGACTACGCTATGTTGTGACCCAGTGAAACCAAGTTGGCCAAACTCTGTGTATAGATGGCTCTGGAAAATGCTAGTCTGTCTTTGCATCCAGCAAGGCAAGGCCAGGGACACACACACGCACGCAAACAGACAGAAAGACGGACAGAAGGACACTCACATGTTCAAATAAATGAAATCACCTCGCCCCGTATTGAATATTCTGCAAATGGAATATGTCCTCATAGATTTATCAGTTGAACAGATGAGAAAGATTCAAAATGCATACATGCGTGCATGCATGAACAATGCTGGATGAGCTTTTATCATCATTTCCGAAACTATACCAGGCAAGACATGAACATGGCATATCCAAAAAATGTTGTTCCAAAAGATGTACATACATGTATAGTGTACCGTACATATTTGGGAAATTTTGATTTACCGAGGGGTATACTACAGAGAGGTACATGCTTAGAATTGCATGGCATTTTGAGCAATGCTTTATCAGTCAACCTTTCTCTCTTTTTAGGTAGGACATGTTTCATATCAAAAGCAACTTTCAATTCTACATGTACAGTTTAATAACAACTTAATTATTCATACCCTAATACCTAGGTGAAATGAATTTTATATTTTACCTGAAACATGAAATTTCCTCATATCATGCACTTTCCTTCAATATTAAGTACAACATATCAAGACTAGCAGAACAAAAAGTAAAAATATTAAAAACATCTCATATTCAGGTACCACTAGTGCAAGCATGCTAAACATAATCAAACATGCAGACATGAAAGAGAAATTGATATTGGGTGTTATTTATTGCTGCAAATATCAGCTTTCTTTTATAACTACACTGTTCTGTGGCAATTGAAAATCTTTCATTTCTTTCAGATTTCTTTGCATATATGAACATGTATGTTTGGAAACAGAACTCTTTCCTGAGATATGCCAAAGTTGACAAATGAGCCATTAGTTTGACGAAATCAAAGAGAGAGAGAGAGAGAGAGAGAGAGAGAGAGAGAGAGAGAGATATAAAGAGAGATAGAGGAGAGAAAGAGAACGAAAGGAATAATGTTGTTGATGAAAATGAAGATGTTTATAAAATAGCTATGATGATGCTGATCATGGTGGTAATGATGATGATGAATGATGGTCAATTGGTAATGGTGGTGGTGATGATGACGGTGATGATGATGATGATGATGGTGATGACGATGATGATGATAATAGTGATGCTGCTTATGGTGATCAAGATTATGATGGAGATGACTATGATGAAGACAATGATGAAGGTGATAGTAATAGTGATAAAGACGATATCGACAGTGATGATGATGATGATGATGATAATAGTGATGATGGTGATGATTCACCGTGATTAAGAAGATGATGATGATGATTGTTCCTACCTGTCGCCTAGGCTGGATGTAAGCTGGTTGAGGATTTCTTGGGCCTGCTGATGGTACTCCAGCTGAGCCTCGACCAGGGCTTGCAGCTGCCTTACTTGTTCAACCTAGCAGAAATAGAAACAGATATATGAATATAACAGTGTAGAAACCCATCATCAGACCTGTAGCATCATTCCCTCACGAATGTGCAAATATGAACTTATTCTACATCAGACTGTGTTGTAGTAAATCCTAGACTAGAGCTCATGTAACTTCACTTTTTTTGAGGCATCAATCTTGTGTTGTGAGTTACCAATTTTTTCCTCTCTGTTTAAACGGTATATTTTCCCATTCCAACAGAGAATTGAACTTGAAAACCGAAAACTGTTTATGTGATCATATCCGAAGCCACACAACAGACAATAATGATCACAGTTGAGTTATTTCCCTCCTCCTCCTCCTCCTCCTGTTTCCCAAAGCCCTGTCTGTATTGGACTATTATTTTTTTCTTTACTTACATCACTTTCCACAAGGTTCATCATTCCATTCATAACAATATCCCTAGACTCCTCAAACTTCTCCTGTGCCATTCGAATCTCTTCCTCAGGAATCTGTGAACCTGAAATCATTGTATTTTCAAAGAAAAAAACAAAGTTATAATTAGCATACATAACATGCATCATGTAGGATTAAGTACAAAAGATGGACAAAAATTCAACTCATTATGTTTTACAACAGGATATCTTTTAAACTTGTAAATCTGCCTGAGCCAATATTTTGATGCAGATCCAGTGTAATTGGTTTCCATTACATATGTATGTACAAGTTCGCTGAAAAATCATTTAAACAAATTAAATTTAACACACATTTCAATGGAATATCGGTGAACTTGTACACAAAACACATTTTGCGAAACTAGGCTCAAATCTAAATTAACTAACATAATACAAAATGACTAGTGTAACAAGAACATGTAGTTCTAGAAACAACACGAGCAACCTTCCAAATTAGCTTTCAAAAAAGTTTCTTTTACAATGCAGCCATATGACCAGAACTCAACTTTATCACTCTCTATATAATGCATGTTTATTTATTCTGCTTGTTGCAGAGGAAAAGCCTAGAAATGAAAAATTGTGGAAATGCTTAAAAGTGAAAAATGACATTTGGTGACATTTCACAGGTTTCCTTGTGACATTTGAATGAATTACTTATATGGTTCATTTGTGCAAAAAGAAATGGATCTCTGCTTCTATTTTCCCTCTACTCTCACCAGTATGTTAATAGGAAGGAAGAGGGCCTATATGCTATTAATTCCTCCAAGCAGACACATGAATTGGCCTCATTCTAAGTCCAGTTTAACAAATATAAATAACTACAGTTACAAGACCAAAGCTAAAGTGTTCTAAAGACCAGGTTACTTTGTTATAGGAAGGAAAAGGGCCTATATGCTATTAATAATTCAAAGCAGACACATGAATTAACCTCATTCTAAGTCCAGAGTTTAAGAAACTTAAATAACTAGAGTTATAAGACAAAAGTCTAATTGTTCTAAAGTCCAGTTGACTTTGTTTGCTATATTTGTGAAGTTAAGCTACATACAACATGATATGTTTGCGCATGGACTGCCAGCCCAGTTTTGTGTGTTATAACATTTGCAACACACAACATTCACAAAAGTAGAACCCATGTGAAACTAATTGCTTAAACAATAATATATCGTCAAGACTGGTAAACAAGAAGTACCCTAAATGTATTGACGTTTCCATAAAAAGAATGAAATAGCAATTTGAAAAGTCCTATAATAAGAAATTTATTGGGGTTCGAAAACTACATGTATATACACATTACATTAAACAAATACACTTAAAGTTAAGAACTTAACGTTCCAGCGCAAAAATTACATGGGAGCGGTGAGCAATTTTAGCTTTGAAAAGCTCCAAAATAGCTTTCATACTGGTGAACTGAAAAACATGATACTTAAATATACCTCCGAGACTCTGATAAAATCACACTTTTACCACACCAAATACTAAAAGAGCTCCTGCAGACAGAAAAAGTATTTGTTACACTATAATAATCATGGGAAAATCATAAAGACAACACATATGATGCCAAGCCAATGAAAAAAAAAGATGATTACATGAGATACATGTAAAGTAAAGCACTTTCATGCAGTAAACTAAACACTGAAAAGATATATACAACGATGAGCACTGGATGCAAATTGAACAAACAGCGACAACTTTGAGAAACAAACATTTAACACCACAACAACACATCTTGTGACCATCTATGAGAGACTGTGCAATAACAAACATTATGACATACATGAACATATTTGAATTGAACAAACAAAACAACAAACAAAAACAAACAAACAAACAAACAAATAATTGTAGGTAATTCATTTGTTGCACCAAGTCTTATCATTCACTGAAACGACAACAATTACAACAATTATGACCAATTTCATCTTGTAGTCCCATTTGTACTTCAAGGGATCTCTCAGAGGTGTAGTCATTCTGAACAAACGATGATGATGATAATATCACTACTACGACTCTCTCTCTTACTACTACTGCTGCTACTACTGCTACTACTACTACTACTTCTGCTACTCTCTGTCTCTCTCTCTCTCTTACCACTACTACTAGTACTACCACTACTACCACTACTACTATGACTACTTCTTCTACTACTGCTAGTACTACTGTACTTCTACTACTACTACTACTAATACTAAAATAAAATAATAAAACTTATTACAATAATAATAATAATAATAAAAAAAGGTGCTTGTACCTTCCATAGGTACAAATATATTATCAACTACAATTTACATACATGTATGTGTACATTTAACCTATTGTACATCATACTGTACATGCATATTCTCAATAGTATGCTGCATGTGTACTGTGAACATGTGGAAACAAAGAAATGCCATGACAATAGAAACCCCCTGTGGTCCTGTGAAAGCAGCTCATGGCCATTTACCAAGTTCAGAAAATTAATCAATAGTTGCTATACTGAGAGCGGATTAGCAGGTTGATCATGAGGTTGGATTTAAGCTATGAGTTTAAGGAGCATCCATTCAGGCAAGACCTGAAAAGCACACATAGGCATGACATAAAGGGCTTTTGGAATGGCAGCCATTAGGCCTGTCCTCATTAGCTTGAGTTTGCAAAATAACCCGCTATTTAAACTATTAACCAGTTAATTTGGCGTCTTCATCAGCCCGCAGTTGCAAAAAGCGGGATATTTGGTCGAGAATAATATCCAGAGAAATTGTGGTTTTGTTTCCAAAACATCCCACTATTTGGGAAATAGCAGGCATATTCGCGGCATCCGAGCTAGTTTGTGATGAGCTCATTGGTCTGGTGAAGACGCAATTTCGAGCTCAGGGATATTTTGGCAAACTCGAGCTGATGAAGACAGACCTACTGAATATATTATAGGTGCATGGAAGAAATGTGCTTTTAAGTTGTACATGTATATGATCCTTAGAACATACATGTAATCAAAATGTTCGTGAAGTTATTCACATGTAATGCACAATTTTTAAACCATGATATATTCCCTGAATGTGAGCAGCGATGGGGTTAATAGAACCTGATTTATCAAAATATATCAGGAAATTGATAACCATTCAGGTGAAACATACAGATATTGATCATGAAAAAATACATGCAGCAAATGGTTTAGCCCCAAAATCAAAGATATGCAAGAAATGTACGTGTAGTGAGTAATAGCTCCAGCTACACCTTCCCAGTGTTATGCACAAGCGTATAAAACTAGTTGTACAAGCTTTTTAGCAAGAGAATAGATTTATTTCCTCTCACTTCCTCTATTTCAAAACTATCAAAACTAAATTACTTGCACTTAATCCTTTTCTTATTCAATGTCGTATAATCGCAGAAAAACAAAAGGCAACTTGTTTGCAAACGAGGACAATTAGACATTGAATAAAACACTGTATCATTGCAGAGGAAAACATTATTAGACTACCCGATATTGGAATGTTAAAAAGGTGAATTAAACCTACTAATGAATGCTGAGAATGGCAAAGCGGGCAATTTCACCAAGCCTTTTTTGTTGCTATGAAATTATGGCAAAAAAACAAGGCTTTCTCATAGTGAGGACCAGAGTTAACTAGATGTGATTTGCCTGACAAGTGCCCAGGGCATTTCATATACAGTTGCAACTAGATGCAACTCCAAACATTGCACACACACAATTCTGTTTGAATACGGTGAAACCTGTATATAAAGACCGCTCAAGGGCAACATGGAAAGTGGTCTTTATAGGCAGGTGGTCTTTAATATGTACAGGTTCCTTAACTTCCTTTTACATGTTTCAATGAGAAACCATATTTAAGGGAAACAAAAAAGGTTTGATTCTTGTTGAATTGAATGTGTGTTTAATTTTTGGAGTTGCCATTTTTCATCACCGGGGTATTTTAAAGTTAGAAGACACCTCTTACACCTTGTCAATATTTAATATGAGAGGAACAGCTACACCTTAACCCTTAGACTGTTCATATCAAGCGCTACAGCCACCCTCAAAGCAAATGTATGTTATGTGCTGCAATAGTTTGCCATGCTATAATGAAAATCTTAAATGAAATGCAAATATGATATAATTATACCACACAATGGGGAAGGTGGAGAATTGCAAAATAATTTGGATTTAAGGGTGAAAATGATAAGATTTCCTTCACATTAAAACAAATAGGTAAGAGTGAAAGAAAAGGGAAATAAACCAAAACTCCCACATGGTTATATGCAAAGGAAAAGGTTGGAGGATTCAACTTCAATAACTTTTTGCAAAAGCAAGAAGAAATTTGAAAGGGCAGATAAAAAAAATCATCTTAATCTTAGTTCTTTGAAGGCATCATAGCTTTTTTATTCACATTACAAGTATGAGATTTAAACTAGAATTTGACTTGATAAATTTCATCTATTTTTCAGAAGAAATGTAGTACATGTACATGTTGATTAATAAAAAAAAAGGATCAAATAAAAAGAATTACAATGTATACACCGCATATGGAGATTCTATGCCTCTGATTGGTCAAAACTACAGGCATGAAATTTGTATAGCAAAAAAATATTGACCGGGCTTAGTTTTACTTGCGCGTACAATGGAAGGACACAATCATAGCGAGTGAAAATAACAATGGATAGGCGCAGTGAGACACACATGCTATAGTTGCTCTTAGACACATAAATTTCCTTTGACTCTATCATTAATAAATATACTTTAACAGGCATATTTAGTCAAAATATTTCTTTTTAAGAACTGACACTTGGGAAGCGATATATAAAACAAATGTTGTCTGTTTATTTTTGGGGTCACGGTTAAAACTTTAACTCCATGATGATTTGGAGACAGCAATGTTTTCGGCATCACCACGGCTATGGTATTAACCGTGCCCCCTCAAAGCTGTCAATATTTGCATAATATAAACTACACATAGTACAAATATGTAACTGTATTCCATGCAGATTAGCCAGACATGCAAGTGTTAACAAAATATGATACTGAAAAATTACTGAAAAATTAGAGAAAGGAAACTAATATGACATAATTTAGGAACGCAGTTTGAAATGTTACCTCCTGGGTTGTCAAGAGAGGGCGACAAACAGTTTGAGAAGAAGGAAAAAGGGGAAAAAATCATCAGTGTTTCATCAACAATTTAGGGTTAAAAATAAAGAACACAGAAACATTAACACAAGAGACAAATAAAGGATATTAACAAAATATACGATTTCCCTGTTGATTTGCATGTTCTCGTACCTTAAGAAGGAAGAAAATTTGAAGAATAACAAATCAGGCAGATAAAGGAAACAAAATATTCTTTAGATATTCTTCCCCTGTAAGTGCAATATCAAAATCGAAGAAAAGCCATTCCAATTTCTACGGCACTTCTTGTCATTACCGAAATGTTTGCACAAACTTTACCATGCTATTATGTAAAGAAACTACATCGTTATTTTGAACAAGCACAAGGAAAATTAATCAACACACTTTTATTCAACCGTCAAAGGAACACAGATAGAATTAAAACAATTAAAATGTAGAACTTTACAAAAACAATGACATCTGGGGATAAATTTGTTTTTCATTTTCTGCTACTTCCATTTTTCATATTTCCTGAAGATGTATTGGTATTCAACTTGTTTGAAACACATGAGAACGTATGGTCCACAAACAAAAATTTAAACAAGTAAAACTGGAATAATGAGTATGAACTTATGTCATGTAAAGCATGAAGTCATATGTGGGCAGGCTCCAGGGCAGCGTCTCACGAAACCGTCATAAGTACAAGTTGGCTGACATCCCATTGTAACGTGTGTATTAAGTTTAACACACGTTTCAATGGGATGTCGGTGAACTTGTAGTTATGACGGTTTCGAGAAACGCTGCCCTGGGCTTCCTTAATGGCTCAAAGATTCTTAGATGCACTCTGGTGCGATTTAAGCCATCATTTGAAGCATTTTCAAACAAATTTTCAATACAAGTATTTTATAAGTAATTTTGGCTAGGAATGAAAATTAACCGGTTGCTGACTTTCAAACTTTCATGTTCTCTACCAGATTTTCCTCTAATTTTTATAACTGATTTCTCTGATATTTCTGTTTTTATTTCGACTGAATTGGTGACTTTCCTAATAATGATAGCAAGAATTGTGAATAATCACAGTCCAATATAGATTTCCCAACAAAAACTGGCCTGGAATTGTATGCTGTGGGATTATGTTGTCATAGAAACAATCTTATATTTCATAACTTTGATGAGCAGTGGTTTGATTCATCTGATCTTATCAGGGAGAAGCCTGTTTCTTTTAATGACAGGTCTGGACAAGATCGCTATCAGCACTGTCATCGAGTCTAGAAAGACTTCCACAAGCCATACAGTACAATAGTATAGGCCTGCATCTGTGTACTTAACTGGGTGGGGTGGGTGCTGGATCAAGTTTCCTTTTATCATATTTTAATCTTGACCAAAATAGCTCATTATAAATAACAAGTTTCACATACTTGTAAAAAAATATAAATCAGGAACAATGATCGCCTACGATGGTACTTTCTAATTTGTAATTCTCATAATAAGGTTGGTGGTTGACATAATAAAAGTTAAAAACTTCACTTTTTGTCTCTATTCAAGCAAGTGGGAGTAGCGATTAAAGGGTGGATCGAGGGTGCATGATTACAGGATTTCTAAGCATGAATTTTGTATGTACCCTTTGTTAAAAGATGAGGGATATACAGTCTTGGAAAAAAGGAACAAAGAATGTTGACAGTAGGCATTGACTGACATATTAAAGCCCCTCTGTACTTGTTTGGCCAGGAGGGATTAGACCTCCTTGCATGGTCACTGACAGTTGGTTATCTCATCAATTCAGCTCTCAATTAAGAAAAAGGGGACCATGTGTGACCAATGGTCACCTATTAGGCATTGTTTGCTATATAGAGGGCGCAATAGGCTATAAGTAGTGCAGTGGGGCTTTAACATCCTTGTGTTACCCTTGTCAGGAATGATCGCCCTTGTTATAATTAAGAACCAATGGTGATATGTGCTGAAGTGGACCCTGTTAATTCATATGCTTAAATTTTCCCAATTTCCACAGACTTAGATGTCAATAAAGAGGAACCCCAAAATGCAGTGAAACCTATATCTTAAGTTGTTTAATATGTGCTTTTGAATTTAAGCATGTCACTTTAGACACAATTTTATTTCCAGTTTATGGATTAAAGAGAGAAACAATGTCTGAATTGAAACTAAATGTACATTGTAATTGGTTATTTATGGGTTTCTTCCCTGTAGGAAATAAATGATTCACACGTCTGAATGCTGTAACAAATTTTCCATGGAAATAGTAAATGGATCACATTTCCTTTTAGTCACATTTTTATGACTAATTACTATGTCCTGAAATAAAATACTTTATGTAATGACACAGACCGCTAGCACAAAGTGTGTCAAGGCAATGATGCCTATGAAGTAATGATGACATGAATTTTTAAATGTACATGAAAGAAAGAGGAAGAATTCTTTGACATGAAGGTACAGAAAACTGAAAAGTGAGACATGAAAAGTAAAGGTCGTACCTTTTTGCACCTTCCGCTTCTTGCAGTCATAGTCTAGCCGGCGACCTTGCATCTTCTTGCGATGATGCTGTTGGAAAGAACAGTTGATTACATATTGAGCTTTACAAGTTTCACAGTTATTGGCCCAAATTCAGACAGGAGGGCTCATTTAAACTGAACCATGATTTAAACCTCCACATTTAGCTGAATTCTTCATAAATTGAAGAGGCCAACATACCCCAAAACGATTGTCTTTACCTAAAATGGCAAAAGGACTTTCAGTGCATGTAATGTCTTCATTTTACTATTTATCACACATGAGTATAGCTAAAATCTGTATAAGACTATACCATCAAACAGTAATTTGACAGTACTTTCTATTTCCTACATGTTTGTCTCATGGAGGAGTTATTGCAAAACAGGTTTCTTTTAAAGGCACACTGCCATACTTGTAGCTACTTGCTCCCTCTATATAGAAAACTTCCCCAATCGGTGCCTGTTGGTCCCCCATGATCCTCTTTTTCTTATGTTAAATGAGAGCTGAGTTAATGAGATAGCCACCTGTCACAGTGACCTCGATGGCTCTCTGTGTGGTCTAATCCCTTCTGGCCCAGTAGTGGTGACGGTCTTTAATAGTTTATAGGCGCATACTCTATTGACACTTAAAGCTTATCTGCCGTAGTTTATAGGACGGATTAGACTGCCCTGCAAGGTCATTGGACAGGTGGTTATCTCATCAACTCAGCTCTCAGTTAACATAAGAAAAAGAGGATCATGGGGGAGCAATGGTCACCGATTAGGCATTGTTTGTTATATAGAGGGCGCAAGTAGCTACAAGTAGTGCAGTGGGCCTTTAATAGTTTATAGGCGCATACTCTATTGACACTTAAACCCAATTCAATAGAGCCTTGAGACTAGCTAACTTTGTCGGTCTCTTGCTGAGCCAATGGTCAGTGGAGTGCAGGGGGCCGTGCACTCTACAAAGTCTTTACAGTTAAGAGACTCTGTAGCAAGTGACATGGGTATTTGCCTGCAAACTATAGTTGCTTCACAAGCAGTTAAGAAAGTAAAAGCAAGAAAGCACAACTGAATGAAGTATGGATGACCTGATGTGGATGACAGAACATGATCACTTCCAATCACAACAGAACACTTAGAAACTACTCTGTCCTTTCAGCTTCCTTTCGAAGCTATGCCTAAGACCATTAAGCTATATTCTTTATGTCATTAATCAGGATGTCCTTCGCACCCTGTTCACAATGCAATTAATCATACACAGCTTTTAAACTGGCCAGGACCTGTTAATTACAGTATGTACATGTATGAGAGTTGTGTGAGAATGAGCTCTACCACTCTCAAGCTCTTGCAGCTCTTGCAGAAGAAGAAGAAGAAGAAGACCCAACCCTTGAGTTAAAAAAAAAAAAAATTCAGGAAAAAAAGACATTTAACAACATTCCCCCCCCCTCATTTGAGTAAACAAAATAGGGGAAAATAAGGGAAAAAAGGGGGTAAAACCAGGAAAAAAATTATAAAGATCAGGAAACAGATTTAAATGAGGTAATTATCAGGCCAGTATTATGTAATTTTTACACACCTTGACATTTTTATGTGCATTGTAATCCAGGGTACAATACAATTTGCACGCCCCCTCCCCAAACATGTAATAATGCTCTGGAAAGTTGGATTTTAACCAAAAGACAGTAAAACTACAACAGACTGTCTCAACTTGCAATGAGTTAGTATGTAATCAGATTAAACTAGATTTATATCAGTATTAGGTCTTCCATACCACTATCTCCTTGAGCTCTTTCTGTCTCAGGTGATCCAGAGGTTCAAGAAAGTTCTGCCTGATGTTGAAGTCAAGGCTGTCCTTGATATCAGCTAGCTGCTTGTGGGCCTCACCAACTTCTAGAAGGCCATTACCTGGATTGTGTTGGAGGGAAAGATGACAAATGGGGTAGAGAGCATGGAAGAGGGGTAGAGAGAGTGTGGAAGAGAGGTAGAGAGAGTGGAAGAGGGGTAGAGAGAGTGTTTAGCACGGGAAGTGAGTGTGGAAGAGAGGTAGAGAGTGTGGAAGAGGGGTAGGAGAGAGTGTGGAAGAGGGGTAGATAGTTTGGAAGAGGGGTAGAGTGTGGAAGAGGGGTAGAGAGAGTGTTTAGCATGGGAAGTGAGTGTGGAAGAGAGGTAGAGAGTGTGGAAGAGGGGTAGGAGAGAGTGTGGAAGAGGGGTAGATAGTTTGGAAGAGGGGTAGAGAGAGTTTGGAAGAGGGGTAGAGAGAGTGGAAGAGGGGAAGATAGTGTGGAAGATAGGTAGAGAGAGTAAGGAAGAGGGGTAGAGAGTGTGGAAGAGAGGTAGAGAGTGTGAAAGAGGGGTAGGAGAGAGTGTGGAAGAGGGGTAGATAGTTTGGAAGAGGGGTAGATAGTTTGGAAGAGGGGTAGAGAGAGAGTGTGGAAGAGGGGTAGATAGTTTGGAAGAGGGGTAGACAGAGTGTGGAAGAGGGGTAGAGAGTGTGAAAGAGTGGTAGAGAGTGTGGAAGAAAGGTAGATAATGTGGAAGAGGGATAACAAACATGGAATAAAGGTAGAGTGTGTGGAAAATGGGTAGATAGTGTGGAAGAGGGGGACAGAACATGACAGAAAGGTAGAGAGTGTGAGAAAGAGGGGTAGAGAGAGTGTGAGAAAAGGGGCAGAGAGCATGGAAGAGGGGTAGAGAGTGTGGAAGAGAGGAGAAGAGTGTGGAAGAGGGGTAGAGAGAGTTTGGAAGAGGGATAGAGAGCATGGAAAAGGGTATTAAAATGAACATGGTAATTCATATCCAACTTGCAATTGAAAGTACATTCTTTTTTAATACAGGAAAAATACAGGAATAGAGAGCTGTGTCGCTTAAAAAATGGGAGGACTTCATGTCTTTATCTTTTTAAAAGTAAATTTAATGCTAACAGGTTTTTTAAGAATACCACAACTATGTGACCTCCTCATTTAACTACTGCGCGAACACCAAAGGTGTGTAGCAAAGCACAAATGCAATGCACCTCCTGCTAACTGGACATATCGATTTAATTAGCTAATTAGCTAAAGCCTCGGTCACAAATGCAATTACGTACAGCTACGAATGCCGTACGAACGATTTTCAGACAATGGAAATTCGGGAAGACAATGGAAAAACAGGGAGATTCGTACGAAATTATCGTTCGTACGAACCTTTGTGACCGTAGCATAAGTGAGCTTTCTGAATTGCTACCCTGGGGTATTAATACCATGATTCATGCTACATATACACTGTTACAAGGGTAAAATAGTTCATAATATCTGTACATGTATATATTAAAACTTAAAGTTCATTTTGGAAATTTCACAAAAAGCAATACATACCCCATTTTAGGTTAGACCTGTGCATGGCATAGATTAGTGTTAAATGTAATAAATATTTCAATATTGGCTACTATTGCTTATGATGGACATATCTTTTGTACACAAAACATCCAATTCATGGTATTTAAGTATATGTTTAGTCATAATTGCTTGTATGGTTTAACCCACACAGCATTGCCAATTCAATCTGCCATTGCTCTTGATTTAAATGGTGTGAAGGAGCGTTAATAGTTGACTAGACCCTTTTAAGCTTTCTTAGCTGTTGCACCATGTTTATGGAATCAATTACAAGCTCAAATGCACTCCTTAGAAACTCTTGTTTCTTTTAAGTCTAACCTAAGGACAGTCTTGTTTGTGAAAGCCTAAATTACATGTACATGAATATATTGATAAACACTTTTTGTACTATCCAGTAGTCTCTTTTTGGGGTACTTCTTTCTATCTTTCTTAATTTCATTATGCCGCTCGGAATAGTTTACTAGATAGATGGCGCAATGTAAGTGCATTACATTAATATTAATATTATTATTATTATTATAGACCTACCAAAGACTGAGTTTTCACCCAGATCCCTTCCAAACTTCAGAAAGCAGTCTCCTAGCGTGGCCTCGGGCTGGGGATACCTTGAGTTCTTGGTCTGCCCTCGCATCTTGGAGACTGTCATCGCAGTACTCTGCTTCGCTCTGGTTACTATGGTAACAGAAAAATGAAAATCAAGCAGGATATAATAATAATGATATTAATAATGATAATAATAATGGTGGTTACTTGAGCTACAGTGCACAAGCCCATCACCTTGTGAGCTGCTGGCGTTTCCACATTGTTTCCTCTGTCATAACTGGCAGCCAAATATGTACATGAACATGTAGCACTCTGGCTTGTGGAGCACCCATTTACACCTTTAATAGTGGAGAATGTGTTATATGAATAAATATTATGATGGAAATAATTGAAAATGCAGGGCATTTCTTTATTTGAATTATTGACTCGTATGTTTTAAAATTGAATAAGAAAAATAAAATGTTATTCTCCATACTGAGAGTTGTTCAAAATGTTACAAATAATATAGTGATATTATTACTTCTACTACTAAAAATAATAATCATAATAATGCAGTATAAGTATCACATATTAAAATGACAACTGCTTGAGTAGAGATTTTAAAAATAACCTTTACTGCATTGACATTGCAGAGGTAAATAGAGTTAAACGGGTCAGGCCTGTCATAAGCAAACATTCCTACCCCACAAACTGCTCTGTAATATTTTTGTTTGTTTAAGGGTATAATGGTGAGAGATTTCATTACACCAATTCACCCATACCAAAATCAGAGACATATATCTTGAACATGCACAGATGGAGTGTGTGTGTGTGTGTTTGTGTATTAATAAGTATAATGCCCCATAAAATTGTCAGAATAAGACAGATTTATGATCCTCTTGCATTAAATCAAAGCTGGAATGGAGAAAGGAAGGCTCACAGGAAAGATGCTGGGGTTGAGATCAAACTACAAACAAAATACTTCAAAATTTAGGGTGTCTTGTTCACTGGTGACAAGACATTGTAAAATGATTGTAGCATCACATACAGTGCTGGTCAAATGTTTTGGTACACCCTGAATCCAGGGGTTTACCTAAACATTTGACCAGCACTTAATTATGGTGTCAGGTATTATTATTAACAATGTTGATATCATCAATATTAATATTATTCATAAAAATAATAATAATAATACGGATGAAAATAACAATGATAATAATAATAATAACAATATTAATATAATTATTATAAGTAATACAAACGTCAACAATTTGTCACCTGATAAAAACTGTCCGATTTAAAGCATGATTTTTTTTCTCTCCTTCATCATTTTCGCATCACAGTATGTTGTGATTGACACTGGTAAGTAATAATATTGATAACAAAAAGTATGTGTACATAAAATGGAATTTACAGTGGGCATAACATGGGATACATACATGTACTGTATATCACCGTATCAAAATTCATAATATTGACACCAGCACTTATGATAATGAGAATTTTAGATTGTATTTAAAGTGGTTATTTTAACACATAGCACATTTTCCACTGGATTCAAAGTGCTTGGAATGATGAATGGGCAAATATCTATAAATAATTAAATACTACTTACAGGGATTTGGCTGAAGAAGCTCATTCGTCTTTGTGATTATGTCGTCAACTGCAAGTGAAGTGACATCAATTGTCTGTAAAAGAGAGTGAGGGATGGAGAGAGAGAGAGAGAGAGAGAATGCAATAAAACAGTCAGTCAGCTTCTGTTCACAACATGAATCTAGTATAAAAACAAAGAGCTTTTCATTTTCCGGAGCTAAAGATGATCGATGATGTTTTTTTTCATTTCTCTTCCATGTGTTGGTTTAAAATGGTTCACATTTGTAATGCATTTGGGAAAATATTACCTGAAATTGGCTACATTTGAAGAATTTGGTGTCCTGAACACTCGATTTCTTTCATCTCATAAATCGTTAAAGTTCATTACAAATGTACACTGTACATGTACATGTAAGTCAACACCGACATGGGGAGTAAATTTGAAAAAAAAAAAAAAAAAAAAAATATAGTAATAATAATAAACAAATCAATACATAGCACAGTTTGGTAAAAGTACATGACTTCATTTTATCACTATCATTACATTTAATTTATACAGTGAAATACAAAGACCGCTCAAGGGAGGCAAGAAAAGTGGTCCTTATAGGCAGATGAGATGGTCTTTCTAATTCTACACAAGTGGTTGCTATTAAAAGCAGGTTTCACTGTACGTTTCTATTCCTCCAACATCAACGGATGAATGTTTTTCATCTAATGATGCGGTTAATCACCTCAAAAGATCGCTACAGAAAAAAACTGCATTTGCTACAGTACATGTAGACCACAGATAGTAGCACCTATTTTCCTGCACACCCACAAGGACGTGTGCAGCCTTTGGCGCCACCTCTCCTTTCTTGATTGGGATCAATGACCCACTTGGACGACACTTGAGCATTGATTGGAGAAGCCATTTGTTACATAGCCATGAATGCTGCCCAGCTAGGAGCGAGCTTCTTCCTTGATTAGATTTTGCACACGTGCAGCCTGACGACATGTACAGTACGCTGTAGTGTCGTTGTATCACACAACTCAACAACTGGTGTTACGCCAATGCTGACATGTATAACTTTAAAGATAAAGTTGAGTTCTGGTTTAGTATGCAATTGCAGTGTGAAAGAAGTGGTGTGGAATCGATCAGAACAAGTTGATCATGCATACAGTGTATTGGTGTGTACTACAAGGTTCTGGAATCATCAAAATGATAAGAAATTTGTCCCAGTCTTGGTAAAGTTGCAAGCACTGTACACAGAAAGATGTACATGGCACTACATTTTTAAGCTGCTACAAGTCCTATTTAGAATATGGAGGCATTTGAAGAGCCATGCTTTTCAGGGAACATATTTCTCTGATGTTCTTCCACACTTGCATCATAACAATTAAGATGCTCACAAATGATTTTCATCTCTCCCCAGAACTCAACCCTCTCTTTAAGTTTTACCAATACATGTATTATCATTCCTCGGTCAAATAGGCATGCCAGGCCATGTTTGTGATCCAATAGAATGATGTAAAGTTCATGTATGGTAGTCTACTCATCGACCTCCACATAAAGATGGAAAGGTCTTGAGTGAATAAACATTTACTACCCCCATGTCTCTTCCTTCTCGATCCGCCCATACAACTGTCAGAATCTAGCACTGTGTCATCTAATGTCACTGCCATATGCTGGGCCGACAACATTTATTAGAGCAGCAGAATGAATTACGTGTAAGAGGCATGAGTACTTCCAATGCCAATCACTTGACAGAGATCTAGTCGAACCTGAAATACCTGATACGGGTAATAATTAAATTACTTGTCTACAGTGTACTTGGTTGAACAAATCAGTGTAGATTAGAATGGAAAAATTCATAAAATTGGTAAAACATGAAATAATGTACTACTACTAATAAAAACATGAAAAATTAACTTAAAATTCTATTAAATCACTCAACTATTTAAACACTCAAAAAATGAAAAAGACAGCAATAGAGTCCATATTCATAACTGAATTTGCTAAGCCCCCTCTTCTGTACGGTAATCAAAAACTTATTTGAACAAAAGGGTAATTCGCTTTTTGAGTTATTAATTGTGAAAAAGAAAATCACATTTTCTTTGTGTAAACATACGCACTCCATTTTCAAAACTACCCATTCAATGACAAGTACATGTATCAGTACAACTATTGACATAAATTTCAAGTGCTTAAAGGTAAAGACCAGTATTGGAAACGCCCCAATTTCAAAAAATGAAATGGAAGCTCTCGTTACCAATCATGTGAAAGAATATGTTTTGACTAATACATGATGATAAAAAATTTGCCGGGAAACCGCCTACTAATTCATATATTTGGTAAATTTGCTTCTCTCATGGTCTGTGAGAGATATAGGGTAGTCCCATATACATCTTTCTGTGTATAGTGCTTGTAACTTTACGAAGAATGGGCCAAATTTCTTATCATTTTGATGATTCCAGAACCTTGCAGATGCTAGATGCTAGATGATCAACCTTTTCTGATCGATTCCTCAACGTTTCTTTCACAATGCAATCGCATGACCATAACTGGTCTTTACCTTTAAAACTCGAGGGCTATTGGAAACTTTATACATGAATTGCAGCAGTGCTGTACAGGTACAGTTTGCACGCACCGTACAAGCAGAACCATAGAAGTACATGTACATGTGGACCTATTGTACATGCACAATCGCACATTCTGCATTTCTAAATCCCTAAACAATGATCTGGATTAATGTAGGCCAAAGGTTAACTAAATACATACACCTGTACTAGTGTATAATGGAAATTAAAGTAATGCAATTGTGTCATTTCTCTTTTTGTTGATTTCAGATGTATTTTGTAAAGTATGTGGAAGGGATCGTATCGTAAGCCTTAAATTGAATTTGATTGATCGTTTTGTACATGTACATCGTATGTACATGTAGACCTATTTGAGTTACAACTGTAGTCACTAATTAGAGTACGGTAAAAACAATACCCGTAGTTTAAAGAAAAAAAGTTCTAAAAAACTTTGACAATATACTGCATGGGCAAGCCCAGATATGCCAACCTTTTTCAGCTTTCAGGGAGGATTCATTCACTAATCAGGGAGGTTTTTATCAATCGCATACATCATAATAGGAATAATCTTCCCAAAAAACAGGGAGGCATTAAAATTGTGTGTAGTGACGTAATTTTTTTTTTCTTTTTCAGGGAGCCTCAGTAAAAATTAGGGAGGGTTGGCATCTCTGCAAGCCCCTAAACATGGGCATCCACCCCTTCCCCTGAATGGTATTCATGAACTAAATTGGAAGTGCTACTAATGAGGCAATCGTAGATGGACACATGCTCTGTCGTACTTTGTGTCAAAGTTACGATTGAATTCCATTCAAGAGCAGTGTCTCAGCTGTGCCGCTAATGAGTAATTATAGGTTGTATCAGTCTAATCGCTGTTGCTCTCATAAGGCCCGTCTTCATCAGCTCGAGTTTGCCAAATAACCCGCTATTTAACAATGCCGATCGCAAATTAACCAGTTAATTTCCGTCTTCATCAGCCCAGTTGCAATTAGCAGGATATTTGGTCGAGAAAATATCCTGAAGATTCTCGGTCTTGTTTCCAAAATATCCCGCTAATTGCACCCGTTCGAGCTGTGATAATATCAAGAGTCTGAAAATAATGGTTATTTGGCAAACTCGAGCTGATGAAGACAGGCCTTTAGAGATTGAATCTAATGTAATATGGTATCATATCGCTCTTCAAGGTTGGTCTGATCATGACCCAGGTTCTGAATAGACAAAATTGATTTATCTTGATGCACATGTGGACCTACAACTGTATTAAAGGTATGCAAGTTGATCAAAGACGCTGAGAAGTGTTGATCATGCCAGGGAGAGGGTCGTTTGCAGACCTGCACCTGGGAAAAAAATACATGGGGCTCGGGGCATATTAGCCCCCGAAACGTCCAAAAGAGCCCCCGAAAGTCATAAAAGAGCCCCCAAAGTTAGCTTAGAGTTTAATGCAAAACAAATTGAATAATGTTATTTTCATGCAAGCAAGCTTGAAAAGTAGCCCCGAAATTGTTTTAATAATTTTTTTCCTGGTCCTGCACAAACCTTTGCCAGTCTGAGTGTGTAAAGTATCTGAACTAGAGACTATGTAGCCTTTAAACAAGGCCACTTGTCTGATAGACGCCGAGCGACTAAAACGAGACTAATCGCGAAAACCCAAGTGAACGCGAGAGCGAGGAGCCCATCCTAGTGGCCTTTATCAATCTGATTTGGATTTCTTATGTTAACCCTTGTTTCCGACTAGAATTCGCTCCAGAAAATGGAGCGTTCAATCAGCGAACGTATCCTCGCACGACGTCAGCATAGTAGTATCCATCACACACACACACACACACACACACAGTAAACTCTACGTAGTGCGAACATGGACCTACATGCTATGAACTATTACGTACGTGCTAAGACCACTGACCTCTACATGGAACGAATCACGAACGAAGCCAACTGGGAGATCGCCGTTCTGATTGGTCAATAAATCCAGAGTAGGCGTATTGGCATGTTAATATGTATCTATGAATAATTCATGCACAGCAGTGAAACCCACTTTCCAAAAGGCCTCGTGACGTTCCGTCACTCGGTCGCGCGTTCACTCCGGGTATCTAGACTCATCTCAGCCGCTTAGAGTCACGAGGCCTTGTCAAAAGGCTAGAGACTATGCAGATTGCTAGCTAGTGCAGCCAACAGGCTATGTACGTGTTACAGCCAGAGACTGACAGAACTAGGCTCTACTCAATACTTTATTAAATTGTGTTTAATTAAGTGACAAATTAGAATATGTGCCTGCAGACTAGTGTTAGAGATGTAGTGTGAATTTGTGATAACTGTTTTAAAACCTGTTACAATACACACCAACTACATGTACAGATACATGTACTGTTCTGTAGATTAAAATAAAAAAATACATATATACCACTAATTAATCCACAGTGTTGATGACCATTAGTAGAGGCTTGAAAGGGCATGTTATAATTATGAAGATTACTTGACAAATACATGTAGTTGACATATTTCTTTGCATTATGAATCCACCATTTGGTCCATATTAGAACTT